AAGTTGTGAAGTTTCCAAAAAGACACTTTCTGGATGTTGAACCTCTTTGCAGTAAGCCATTTCTAATTGCTTCTCTGTAAAGTCACAATACTTTGAATAATCCGTTTCCGAATACTTCAATGAATAGATTTCTTCCTCTCTTAAAAGTTCCCTGGCACTTTTTGTTGAATCATTTTGAAAACTTGTTGCAATTTTGGTGAAGCACAGAAGAGTTGTCACAGAACTTAATAGTTTTAGTTGAAGCATTTTGGATTTTGAAAAACTTTTCACAAAACTAAAAGACTGAACTGAAAATTGATCCAATCCGTAAGACTCTGCTGGTCCGACTGAATTCTCATCTGTGGAAGGTCGGTGTTAATCTATTTTCGAAAACGAAACAAGAAGGGTAAATGATTAAAAAATTCTTTTTATTGCGTAGTATTATTTTCATTCTTTCTTTATTTTTTCAAAAATAGAATAGAATTTGTGATACAATCTGTTAGAAATAAACTAAAAATTAATCAGTGAGCGTCTATTAATGAAATGTAACATCTTTAGTAAGGTTATATCGTTCAATTGATTCTTGTTTAGAAAAAAATAATTCTTCTTTTAAGAACTGATATTTAAGATTTGGTGGTGTCTGATAAGTAAATGTATTTAATTCGTTGAAAGAAATACTCAAAATTTGTAGATTTGAAAGTTTAGCAAAAGTTTTGTGGTGTATATATTGTATTTTATTGCGATTCAATATCAAAATTTGTAAATTATCTAAACCAGTGAAAGAATCTTCCTTTAATTCTGTTATCTCATTACTACCAATGTGCAAGTACTTTAAACTCCTGATAAATAAATTCGGAACTTCTTTAAATTCATTCTGATGTAAATTTAACACTTCCAAAGCAGTATTTGTTTCAAAGGTGTCATTATAAAGCTACATTTAAAAATTCCATATTTTAATTCATGTTCAATGATAAATTCAATTTAAGAATTGTCAGGATGTAATAATAAGGCAGGATGTTGTTTCTTTTGAGAAAACTAAATAGATTTTGATTCTGATTGCACTAAGTCAAACCTGATACTTATAATAATTATTATTTTCTAAATACATTTCTTTAATTTAAATTACAATATTACCTGACTATCATGCGATTATTGTACGGTTATTAAAGATTTTTAATGTTTTTGGTTTATTTATAATATCATCTATTTCTTGTTTAGAAAGACCTATACCATTTACTAAAAATTGGTATTTCAGATTTGACGGTGACAGAAACGTAAATTTTTTCAATTCATTGCTGATAAGACTTAAAAATTGCAGATTTGAAAGTTTAGCAAAAGTTTTGTAGTGTACGTATTGAATTTTATTGTCATTCAATAACAAAGCTTGTAAATTATCTAAACCAGTGAAAGAATCTTCCTTTAATTCTGATATCTTATTATGATTCATGTGCAATATCTTTAAACTCTTAATAAATAAATTGGGCACTTTTTTAAAATTATTGACTCTCAAATTTAACACTTCCAATGCAGTGTTTGATTTAAAGGTGTCATTATAAAGTACACTAAGTGAATTCACTGTCATATCCAAATAACGTAATTTTGTATTGAATTTTAGTGCATTTTTGGGAAATCTATAAATGTGAGAAAAGGTAATTACTAAATTCTCTAAATTTGGATGATATTGAAAATTTAAGGAATCATTATGTAATCCTGAAAAATAATTATAAGAAAGATCCAAAGTAATTATTGATGTATGACTTGGTGAAGATTTATATAAAGTGAGATTAGAATCGAATATATGTAAATGAGTGAGATTCTTCAAATTGACAAAATGATGATTAAAGTTAGAAATGTTTTCGCAGTTTCTTAAAAGCAGGTGTGTTAGATTTGTCAATGATGTATTTATAACCAAATTGGTGTTGTTCTGGTTAAAAATTACACGATACAAACAAAGAATCCTTAAATTTGATAATTGAAGATTAATAATGTTGTTGCTCTTGTTCTTTTCGGAAAATATAATAGGGCCGTACTTCTTGCGATATGTGTCACTTTCGATGAATGAATCCCATAAATTTTCGTCCAAATTCGAATCAAATTTACTCCAATCCTGAATCACTTTATCGTTCCAGTTGTCGGACTCGAAATCTTTATAATGAATTGTGTCATCCATGTTGTCCATAACAAGGTACTTGATATTCAAATGTGAGAAATTGTTCAAATCTTCTAATGCCAGTTTTTTCGTTACGTTCAAGTAGTCAAGATTCGAAAGACCAGAAAAAGTTGTATTTGATATTCTTCCTGGATCATTGGATTCAATATCCAAACATTTGACGCGAGGATTCTGAGTAACATTATTAATAAGAATATTTTCTTGTTGTGAAATGTTCAAAAAAGCACTTTCCGGATGTCGCTTCATACATCCTCTCATTGTTAGTAGTTCCCCGTACATTTCATAATTGTTCATGAGTACCTTATCGTTTCCAATTAAATCGACTCCCAATGATTCTAAAAATTCATTAAAACCACTTCGAAACTCTGTTGGGTGATTGAATCCAATTTTAAAAAAGCACAAGAAAGTAATCACAGTTCCAAATAATTTTAATAAAACCATTTTCTTTTTTATAACACTTGGCACAACACCAAAAGTACTTTTGTAGAGAATTTAATTAATATTCTTTTTATTATAAGGAATAGAAAATTATCGCTAATGATGAATGAAAAATTGGTAGTAGGAATATAAAGCAAAGTATTAAAAATTCGTCCAGCTTGTGGGACACTGTTGGTCCAACTGAGATTCATCTGTGGAAGGTCGGTGTTAATCTATTTGTGATTCTTAATCTGGAATGGGAAACAAGAAGGGTAAAAAGTTACAAAATTTTTCCTCTTGATTGCGTAATATTATTTTCTTTATTTATTTTTTAAAAAACATTTCATCACACTGTGATGATACAGTTACATCAGTAGATTTTTAAGTAAACATAATAATTTCAAGTTAGACTATTTCCGATTCTTTCGTTAATTTTCTTTGCACAATTCTAATCTGGTCTTTTGGAAATATACATTAATTTTATTTTTCAACTTTTTACATATTGATTTAAAAAAAGTTATGTTTTTCTAAAATTGTGATTATTATTTATTTTGTACAGTTAACCAAAACCTTTTGAATACTATTGCTCCATTTATAAAATCTTCAAATTCTTTTGTAGAATGCGGTATACCTTGTTCTAAAAATTGGTATTTAATATTTGACGGTGACTGAAACGTAAATTTATGCAATTCATTGCCGGAAAGATCTAGTATTTGCAGATTTGAAAGTTTAGCAAATGTTTTGTAGTGTACATATTTAATTTTATTTCTATACAGTATCAAAATTTGTAAATTATCTAAACCACTGAAAGAATCTTCCTTTAATTCTGATATCATATTAATATTCAAGTACAATCTTTTTAAGCTACAAATACCTAAATAGGGAACTTTTATAAATCGATTCCCACATAAATTTAATACTTCCAAAGCTGTATTTGTTTTAAATGTGTCATTATAAAGTACACTAAGAGAATTCGCTGTCATATCTAAATAACGTAATTTTGTATTGAATTTTAATGCCATTTTGGGAAATCTATGAATGTGGCAATAAGAAATTACTAAATTCTGTAAATTTGGATGATGCTGAAAATCTAAGGAATCGTTATGTAGTCCGAAAAAGAAATTCGCAGAAAGATCCAAAGTAATTATTGATTTATGATTTGTTGAAGATTTATAGGAAGTGAGATTAGAATCGAATATGGATAAGGAAGTGAGATTTTTCATATTCACAAAATGATGGTTAAAATTAATGATATTGTCGCAATTAAAAAGAAATAAGTATCTTAAATTCGTCGATGTTGTATTAATAACCAAATTGGTGTTATTTTGTTTAAAAACTACACGATACAAACAGAGAGATGTCAAATTCGGTAGGCGAAGATTAATAATGTTGTCAATGCTACTGTTCTTCTGAGATGATATTATAGTTTCGTACTTTTTCTGATATGTCTCACTCTTCTTGAATGAATCCCATAAATTTTCGTCCAAATTCGAATCAAATTTACTCCAATCTTGAATCACTTTTTCGTTCCAGTTGGCGTACTTGAAATCTTTATAATGAAGTGTATCATCCATATTGTCCAGAACAAGGTACTTGATATTCAAATGTGAGAAATTGTTCAAATCTTCTAATGCCAGTTTTTTCGTTACGTTCAAGTAGTCAAGATTCGAAAGACCAGAAAAAGTTGTATTTGATATTCTTCCTGGATCATTGGATTCAAATTCCAAACATTTTACTTGAGGATTAGTAACGTTATTAATAATATTTTCTTGATGTGAAATATTCAAAAAAGCACTTTCCGGATGTAACTTCTTGCAACCTCTCATTGTTAGTATTTCGTCGTTCGGTTCAGAATTTTTAAGTTCCTCATCGAACCCGAATATATCGATTCCCAATGATTCTAAAAGTTCTTTGAAACCACTTGGTAAACCTGTTGGATGATTGAATCCAATTTTGAAAAAGCACAAGAAAGTAATCACAGTTGCAAATAATTTGAAGGAAACCATTTTCCTTTGAAAACACTTTACACAAAACAAGTTCTTTTGTGGAGAATTTAATTAATATTCCTTTTATTATAATAAAAGGAAATCCTGTAGATTATACGGTATAAGAAATAATGGAAAACTATTATTAAAAAATTAGTGATGGCAATATAAAGCAGAGCATTAAAAATTGTTCTGGCTTGTGTGACACTGTTGGTCCAACTGATTTGCATCCGTGGAAATTCGGTAAGATATTTATGACGCCTTATCTGAAATGTAGGAAGGGAATGTTACGAAATTTCTTTTCTCGATTGCATATCACTATTTTCACTCTTTATTAGTTTCATAAAAAATATTTCTACACACCATTATATGGTACAGTTAAATTTATCAATACATTTTCATATAATCATACATGATTCATATACAATTTTTTTAAACTCCTGACAATATCAAAAATCTACAATAATATTATTTTTCAATGTTTGGTTGCCCCAATCAGCAATAACATCATTTTTAGAAAGATCTCCATTAGATTCTAGATTTAAATACTTGAGATTTGATGGTACTTGATAAACAAATTTATTTAACTTATTGTAAGAAATATCAAGTACTTGTAGATTCGAAAGACTAGCGAATGTTTTACGATGTACATATTGAATTCCATTGCTATCCAAAAATAAAATTTGTAAATTATCTAAACCACTGAAAGAATCTTCCTTTAATTCTGCTATCATATTATTAGTCATGTATAATTTTTCCAAACTGAAAATATTTAAGTTTGGCACTTCTTTAAATTTATTATTTTTTAAGTTTAGCACTTCCAATACAGTATTTGATTGAAAAGTGTCTTTATGAAGTGCTCTTAGTTCGTTGTGCGACATATCCAAATAACGTAATTTTGTATTAAATTTTAAACTGTTTTTCGGAAATCTGTACATATGACACTCAGAAATCATTAGAAGGGTTAAATTTGGATGATGTTGAAAATCAAGGGAATTATTATTGAGATTCGAAAAGAAATTATTAATAAGAAACAAATGAGTTAATGATGTGTGGTTTGGTGACGACTTATAAAAGTTCAGATTACACAAGTGAAAAACAAGATAAATCAGATTTTTTGTATTCATAAAATGGTGATCTATAGCTGTCATATTATAATTATGAATAAAAAACAAATGTGTTAATTCTTTCGATGTTGTATTAATAACTATATTTGTGTTATTCGTACTAAAAATAACTTCTTTTATTGAAAGAATTTTTAAATTTGGTAACTGAAGGTTCACAATTTTGTCAACGCTGTTGTTCTTGGATGATGATATAGTCTCGTACTTCTTGCGATATGTCTCACTTTTCTTGAACGAATCCCATTGATTTTCGTCCAAACTCGAATCAAATTCACTCCAATCTTGAATTATTTTTTCACTCTCTTCAATATTCGATCTTTGTTCAATTTCCAATCTCTCTTCAATTTTCAATTCCGAATTATGCAGTAGGTCTTCGATACCGTTCAAAAATAGATACTTAATATTCGGATGGGAACAATTATTCACTTTTTCCAATGTCCTCATTAGTATCAAACCCAAATATTCCAGATTTGGAAGACTTGAGAATGATAAATTTGACGATTCATTGATTTCATTTGTTTGCAGTAATAAACACTTGACTTGAGAATTAGTAGTAATGTTGTCTGATGAAAATTTATTTTCTTGTGAAAATTCCAGAAAAATACTTTCTGGATGTCGTGCTTTACAACCTTTGATTGTTATTAGTCCTTCTAAAAATTCACCTTCTTCCAGAAGTTCAATTTCCTGCACTAGGGAATTAATTCCGAGCGATTTTAAACGTTCCACAGAACTGCTCCATTGATAAGTTGGAGCAGTTGTTGTAATTTTGAAAAAGCAGAAAAAAATAGGCACAATAGTTAATAATTTCAGTTGAAGCATTTTGTTTTTTTATGTTCACGAAACTAAAAATTGTAATTAAAGAAAGGTATTTAATTCCAAATTAACAAAAAAATTGTTAACTTCTTCTGAGATAAAAATCCTTTTGTCTAAAACACTTGTCACAAAATCAAACTGCTCTTTAAATGTTTTTAATGTTCTCTTTATTATCCAGAATGAAAAATCATTGCTACTGATGATTAGAAGATTATAACTAGGAATATGAAGCAGAGTATAAAAAAATTGGTCCAGCTTGTGAGACACTGTAGATGCAACTGAGGTTCATCCGAGAAAATTCGGTGATTCTATTTATGATCCGAAATCTGGAATGTTATCACATTCCAGATTTCGGATCATAAATAGAATCACCGAATTTTCTTAAGTACTAAATTGCGTAATATTGTTTTCTTTCTTCATTAACTTTACATAAATATTTCATCACACTATGATGCAGTTAAAATCAACACAATTTCGTGTAAACATAATTATTTAAAGCGTTAAGATAACTATCTATAAATTTTTGTTCCTGCTTTTATTTGCATTTTTTTTTAATCTACTGTATTAAAATATTCATTAACTGTAGTTTTTGATTTTGTACTTATTGATTAAAACATTAGGTTCGCCTAAAGTTAACGAAGATGATTTTCTTGTTTATGCTGAATCTATAATTTTTATTATAACTTTGATAACAATAAGAACAACTTGCTCAGATTTTTTACCTGAAATTTATAGATTTGATTTTTATATGTGCCTAAAAGAACAATATTTGTTTAAACTAAAGATAATATTATTATTATTATAAGAAATTAGAAGCTAAAATAACAAAGTATTTAGGAAAATTTATTTATTGACTTATTCAACAAACTATTTCATAAAAAAATTGGTCATACTTGCATTGGACGTTGGAGTTTTAAAGATAATAAGTTTGAACCTTTTAAATATTAATGGTAATTCAACACGATCCGTCAAATCTTCTAAAGAATAGTTATGTTCCTCATCTTTTTGGAAGTAATATTTAAGATTTAAGGGTAATTGATACGTAAATGTATTAATTTGATTGTTAGAAATATCAAGTATTTGCAGATTTGATAGTTTAGCAAATGTTTTATCATGTATACATTGAATTTTATTGTTATTCAAAAACAAAATTTGTAAATTATCCAAACCAGTGAAAGAATTTTCCTTTAATTCTACTATCTTATTATTACCCAAGTACAATTTTTCTAAACTTTCTATTTGTAAATTTGGAACTTCTGTAAATTTATTCCAATTTAAATTTAACACTTCCAATGCACTGTTTGCTTTAAATGTGTCATTGTAAAGTACACTAAGAGAATTCCGTGCCAAATATAAATAACGTAATTTTTTATTGAATTTTAGTGTATTTTTGGGAAATCTATAAATGTGGCAATAAGAAATTACTAAATTTTCTAAATTTGGATGATGTTGAAAATCTAAGGAATCGTTATGTAGTCCTAAAAAGAAATTGTCAGAAAGATTCAAAGTAATAATTGATTTATGATTTGGTGAAGATTTATAGGAAGTGAGATTAGCATTGAATAAGATTAAGTAAGTGAGATTTTTTAAATTGACAAAATGATGATTAAAATCAATAATATTGTCGGTCCTTAGCAAAAACAAGTGTGTTAAATTCGTCGATGTTGTATTAATAACCAAATTTGTGTTATTCTGGTTAAAAATAACACGATGCAAACAAAGAATCCTCAAATTTGGTAATTGAAGATTAATGATGTTGTCAATGCTGTTGTTCTCAGATGTTCCAGATGTTCCAGATATTCCAGCTTCGTACTTCTTGCGATATGTCTCACTCTTCTTAAATGATTCCCATAAATTTTCATCCAGACTCGTATTAAATTTACTCCAATCTTGAATCACTTTTTCGTTCCAGTTGGCGTACTTATAATCTTTATAATAAAGTGTGTCATCCATGTTGTCCAAAACAAGATATTTGATATTCAAATGTGAAAAATTGTTCAAATCTTGTAATGCCTGTTTTCTTGTTAGGTTCAAGTAGTCAAGATCCAAAAGGTTGGAGAACGTCGTATTTGATATTCCTGGATCATTGGATTCAAATTCCAAACATTTGATGTTAGGATTCAAGGTAACATTGAGAAAATTTTCTTGTTGTGAAATGTCCAAAAAAGCACTTTCCGGATGTCGCTGTTTGCAACCACTCATTGTTAGTGACTCCTTAAATAATTTACTTTCTTTTCTAAAATCCTTTTTCATATGAAATGAATCGAATTCCAGCTTATCTAGAAGCTCTTTATAATCACTTGATAAATATGTTGGATGATTAGATCCAATTTTGAAGAAGCACAAGAAAGTAATCACAGCTCCAAATAACTTTAAGTGAACCATTTTCTTTTCTGCTTGAAAACACTTGAAAAACCAATTCTTTAACTGTTATTATTGTTCTCTTTAATGCAAAATGGAAAATTACGTCTTATGATGATTAGAAGATTTGGAATATAAAGCAGGGTATTAAAAATTGGTCCAGCTTGTAAGACACTGTTGGTCCAACTGAGATTCATCCGTAGAAATTCGTTGCTTTTATTTATGATTCGTAATCTGGATTAGGAAACTACAAGGAGCTATTACAAAATTTTTTCTCTCTATTGCTTGCTATTATTTTATTTTTTATTTTTTTAAAAATATTTCATCACACTGTGATGATAGAGTTAAATTTATCGTTACGCTTTTCCGGTAAACATGATTATTTTATACTTGAAGGACATAATGCCGAAATTTGTTGTCAAAGTCTGTTTCCCCTATTTTTGCGATCTGTTTTATAATATTTTAATTAGTTTCTTATTTGTATTTATCAATTACAATATTTGACTAAAATGAAATGTTTATTGTCATCAGATACAGATATTACGTCATATTTGCCAAAAATAGTAATTGTTTTTTATTTTATACCAAAAATGTGGGTTCAATTGTAGCTTTGCCTAAAAGTGCAGTAATTGTTTTGAAATAAAAGTTTAGAATTTTAGTTTTTTTCACATTTGATGGCTAATATTAGCATACAACTATTTTTAATGCTGCATTTTTAAATTTGGTTCCAGATTTCCTGAAAATTACAGAAGATGCTGTTAATTATGTGTCATTTCATAATTTAAGTACTGACTAATGATGAATTATAATTTGTTTCTAATCGAATGCTAGAACATTAGATTCTGCTATGCATACCCTAGACAAAAATTAGTCTGAAGTTGTTTTAAATTTTTCTCGCGATTATAAATTGGATCTGTAGAGAAAGAAAAGGAACACATTTGAAGGGAAAATTTAAGAGCATTTAAAATATTTTTATTAAATTTGAAAATACAATTTTTAAACAGTGTTTTATTACAATTTCAATTTTTAACAGTGCTTATGACAATTTTCATCAAAAATTACAATAATTAGTAACTACAAAAAATATTCATCCTTTCTTGAAAATCCGAATTTTAATAAAAGATACATTTACGATACGTTACATTTCTGTCTTCACAACCAACCATATAATCAGGTCCAAAACTAAAATTATTAAGGTCTGTATTTAAATATCTAATATTAATTGGCAACGGATACAATTTATGTAATTCATTTCGAGTCATATCAATAATTTGCAAATTTGAAAGTTTCGTAAAAGTTTTTCTATCTAAATATTGAATTTTATTGTTATTCACTATCAAAATTTGTAAATTCTCTAAACCACTGAAGGTATCTTCCTTTAATTCCGTTATCATATTACTAGCCATGTACAATTTTTTCAAACTCAAAATATTTAAATTTGGCACTTTTGCAAATTTATTATCATTTAAGTTTAGTGTTTCCAATTCAGTATTTGTTTTAAAAGTGTCATTATAAAGTGCTCTTAGTTCGTTGTATGACAAATCTAAATTGCGTAATTTTGTATTGAATTTTAGAGTATCTTTCGGAAAGTTCAATACATGACACATAGAAATCATTAAAAATGTTAAGTTTGTATGATGTTGAAAATCAAGAGAATCGTTATTTAGATTCGAAATGAAATTTTTATAAAGTGATAAATGTGTTATTGATCTATGATTCGGTGACGACCTATAATACGTGAGTTTACATTCTTGAAAAAGTATTTCATTGAGATTTTTTGTATTGATAAAATGATGATCTATATCCGTTATATTATAATTGTGAATCAAATACAGATGTGTTAATTGTTCGGATGTTACATTAATCACAAAATTAATGTTACCCGGGTGGAAAACAACTTGTTCAATTGCAAGAGCTTTTAAATTCGGTAACTGAAGAGTTAAAATATTATCAGAAATAATAGATTCGTTTTTATTTGGATCGAAATTTGATTGTAGATTACTTGAATTTTGTAGTATACTCTTTTGAATGAAAGATTGTAAAATAACAAGATATATATTACCATTTAATGATAGATATTGAATATTCGTATGTGATAAATTCACATCTCGTAGTCTTGAGTTTATATTAATATACATATATTCAAGATCCGGTAGATGTGAAATAATCAGTCGATTGAGAATACTGTTGTATGCTCCCAAACACTTCGTGGTATAGTTTGAAGGTTCATCTTGGGGTGAAGATTCCAATAAAATATTTTTCTTATGTCGATTTTCACAACCATCCATTGTTACTAGTTGGTGTAAAAATTTACTCCGCTCCATTTCTTTAATTTCATTAAAATTTGGATCGACTCCCAGCGACTTTAAAAGTGAATCATATACGTATGATTCATGTAATTTAAGGCTTGTTGCAATTTTGAAGAAGCATGAGAAAATAGTCACTATGATGAATAATTTCAGATGATCCATTTTTGTTTCCGATTTTTATTATCCACAAAACTTAAAGTCGTTTTAAATTTTTGTTTTTATTATTCAGAAGAGAAAATGATGATTAGTTTAAGAAATATAATAAGCAGAGAATTAAAATTTGATCTAGCTTGTGAGACACTGTTGGTCCAACTGAGATTCTTCAGAGGACATTTGGTAATTATGTATATGATTTGTTATCTGTGATGTGAAGCTAAAGGGCAAGTGATTATGAAATTTCACTTGTTGATTATATTTTATTACACTGTAAAAAGAAAGGTACTAATTTAGTACCAATTTTGGGTATTAAATCGTCATTTGGTTCTATTTTAATTATTTTTAATACCGAAAATCAGCTCTAATTTAGAACCTTTTATTTACAGTGTATTTGTGACTGTTTCTCAAAAATATTTTGAGTATTTCATCATCAAAAAACTATTCTCAAAAATTATGATTAAATTCTTTAAAACGATTCAATTATTTTCATAAATAACAATCTTTATCACAAGAATTCAATTATTTAAAAAACAAATTGATAAAATTCATTCAAAATTCAATTATTCTCATAAATTATAAATTTTTCACAGGAATTCAATTAATTTAGAATAACATTTTTGAAAAAATTTCGAAAAATCAATTATTTAACCAAATTTTGATACAATTCTTCAAAATAAACTCAAATCTTTCACTTATAATAACATTTTTCATAGAAATTGAATTTTTTAATAAAAATTTTCTTGTCAAAATTTCAATTATTTTTAAAAAATTTAATAAAATTCTTAGCAAAATTTTAATTATATTAAAATAATTTTCTTAATTCAATGATTTTCATTAATTACAATATTTATCACAAGAATTCAATTATTTTTAAGGATTTTTACAAAATTTTTGTCTAAATTTCAATTATTTTCAAGAATTTTAATAAAATTTTTTGCAAAATTGAATTATTTTTAAAAATTTTTCTTAATTCAATTATATTCATAAATTACAATATTCATCACGAGAATCCAATTATTTTCAAGAATTTTAACAAAATTTCAATTATTTTCAAGAACTTTAATAAAATTTTTTGCAAAATTCAATTATTTTCTAAAATTTTAATAAAATTCTTGGCAAAATTTCAATTATTTTTAAAAATTTCCCTTAATTCAATTATTTTCAAGAATTTTAATAAAATTCTTTGCAAAATTCAATTATTTTCTAAAATTTTAATAAAATTCTTGTCAAAATTTCAATTATTTTAAAAAATTTTTCTTAATTCAATTATTTTCATAAATTACAATATTTATCACGAGAATTCAATTATATTCAAGGATTTTAACAAAATTCTCGTCGAAATTTCAATTATTTTCAAGAACTTTAATAAAATTCTTTGCAAAATTTCAATTATTTCAAAACATTTTAATAAAATTCTTAGCAAAATTTCAATTATTGTCAATAATTTCTCTAAATTCAATTATTTTCATAAATAAAAATATTCATCATAAAAATTCAATTATTTTTGAAAATTTTAATGAAATTCTTTGCAACTATTCAATTTTTTTCATAAATAATTAAATTCATCACATAAGGATTTCAATTATTTTTAATACAATTTTACTGGAATTGCTCAAAAAATGTAATTATTCTTATAAAAATTTAATTTCAATTCTTCGAAAAAATTAATGATTTAAAAAAATGTTTTTTCTTTTAATTCTTTGGAAGAATTCAATTATTTACAAAAATATTAGAATTTTTCACCAAAAATTCAAGTATTTTAATAAAATGTTTCGAAAGAAATCAATTATTTTTTAAACACAATTTTAATTAAATTCTATTTTTGAAATAATTCAATTATTCCTTTAGATTTTAATAAAATTCTTCCCGAGAATTGAATTATTTATATGATTCTTCGAATGAATTCAATTAAATGTCGATAAATAACAAAATTATTTACGAAAATTCAATTATTTTCAGGAATTTGAATAAAATTCTTTGCAAAATTCAATTATTTTCATAAATAACAATCTTCAGCATAAGAATTCAATTATTTTTAAACGTAATTCATTTTTTTCTTGTAAATTCAATTATTTTTAAAAATAATAAAATACTTTTTAAGAATTGAGTCATTTTCAAAAAAAAAATTTATAATTAAATACCACACGAAAATTCAATTATTGTTAAAAATTTTAATACAGTTCTTTGTAAAATTTTATTACTTTTAAAAACTTTTCGAAATTCAATAATTTTTATTATATATTATTTTCATAAAATTACCAAATAGAATTTAATTATTTCAACAATTTTTTATAAAAATCTTCGTAGGAATTTAATTCTTTTCATGAACATTAAAAATTTCTCAAAAATTTTATTATTTAAATTGAAATTTGCATAAAATTAGTCGAAAGAAATGAATTTTTTAAAAATTTTTTATAAAATTCTTCACAAGAATTAAATTCTTTGACAAATAATTAAACTTTGTTGCAGGAAGTGTTATTAGCAGGATTAAAAAGAAGTAAATATTTTTGAAAAAAAAGTCAATAAAATAAAAAATTTTGAATGGAATTTTTGTCAGTTTTGTAAAGTGTTTAAAAGAAGTTTTTTTTGCTAATACATTCTGAATTATAAATTATATTATATGCAAAATTAAATTATGAAATTGATTTTGTTAATTTCATCATCATAATGAAATCAATACAAAATCAGAATCTATTGTCTTAAAAAAATCTAAAATTTTCGTCAATGATTTAGATTTATATTTCTCCTTGTTTCATAATAGTGGATTCAGAGAAAAAAAAAGTTTTCTGATAATCTCTTCAAATGGACAGGAATGTTGAAAAATAATCTAAAAGTATCAAAACCAGTTCCCCTTGAAACTTGTGACGTAATTTCTTTTTTAAGATTCATTAATCAAAATATTTATCATCGAAATTCTACAGATGAAAGCAGTCAGTTAAACCAAGAGTGTCATACAATTTAGACCGATTTTTATTATTTCCAACTTATTTTTAAAAAAAATAAGTAATTAAATTCAAATTGTGAGTATAGTGAAAGAAAATCCTTAACGGATATATTCGGTTTAGTGAGAAGGGGGGAAAAATGGAAATATTTGGAATTTTCATTATGTTCTGCCTCTTTAAAATTGGCACAAACTCTCCAACAAATTCGTCAAGTACTTATGAACAATTTTTAACATCACTAGGCGTTGATTCAAGAATGGATGAAACAAAAATTGTGCAAATGGGTGAACTTCTTCAAGGACAAATGACAATGGCAGGCTGCATAAAACGACATCCGAAAAGTATTTTTTTGGATCCTTTCCAATTAAATCAATTTTCCGACAATATTACTATCAGTTCTCAAGTGAAATGTTTGCAAATAAAACAAACAGTAATTAATCAAGTGTCAAATTTATCATTTTCGAGTTTACGGAATCTTGAATTTTTGAAAGTAGAAATAAACACAACACTACAAGAAGTGAATTATTTTTTGCATAAAAACATTAAGTATCTTACTTTGCACGGTTATTCTCATTACGAAAATTTACGACATGATAGGACATACAATAAAGAGTGTGAAAAATATTTGCACAATAATGGTAAACTTGATTTGAAATTATTCAAAAGAGTAAATTCCGATGAAAAAAAATTTACTTACAGTGATGATAATGTTTTTCATCTTGAATTAGAAAATTTGCAAACTCTTATGATAAATGATGTTATTTTTAATAAGAATAACGTCAAATTTGTAATAAATACGTCATCCGAAAAACTTGCACACTTATTTTTATTGCGTATATTTAATATGACTGATGTGGACCATCATTTTGTCAATACGAAAAATCTTACTCTCCTAGCTATCCAAGACTGTAATCTAAGGTATTATAAGTCGTCACCAAATCATAAATTAATAACTCATTTGTTCCTTCTAGAAAATTACTTTTTTACTATCTATAGTGATTCCTTAGATTTTCAACATCATCCTAACTTAAAGTTTTTGAGAATTGAATTGTGTCATATATACAGATTTTCGAAGGACACTCTAAAATTTAATAAAAAATTACGTTTTTTGGAATTGTCGAAAAATAAACTTAGTGTACTTCATAAAGACACCTTTAAATCAAACACTGAGTTGGAAATGTTAAATTTAGAGTCCAATGACTTTAAAAAAGTGCCTAATTTACGAATTAAAAGTTTAAAAAAATTGTACATGAGTTATAATAAGATTACGAAATTAAAAGAAGATTCATTCAATGACTTGGAGAATTTACAAATTTTATTCTTAAATGACAATGTTATTAAATACGTACATCATAAAACATTTGTTAACCTTTCAAATCTACTGATTCTTAATATTTCCAACAATAAGTTGCATGTATTTCTCTATCAGTCGCCGTTAAAACTCAAATATTTAAATGTAGCAGGTAATAAAATTCCTTCGAAAAATTATGTTATTATTGATTTAGGCAACGGAACATTAAAGTATAATGATATGTTAGATTTCTAATGTAATAAAAAAATGAATTTTACTAATTTAGAAGTCATTGTATGTTTCAGGATCATTTTTTCCCAATAAATAGTTTTAATAATTAATCATTATTGCGTAATTTTGTTAACAGTCGTAATATTTATCGCTTTTTTGAAAATTGTAATTTCAAATGTAATAAAAATTTTTAATGAAATGTTTCGAATTTTCAAGTTTTCAAATGTTATTAATTCAAATTCTTCTTGAAATCAGTTAAATTTGTCAATAGATACTTAATTAATTATTAAAAATACTGGTACTTCGAAAAAAACTTTTAGTTGAATTCTACAGAAGTTAGAAATTATTGTATGAATTCGATTAAATTCAAAATTATGTAATAAAATACTTTTTAGAAAAGTTAAATTATATGTTCAAAATTTAGAGAAAAATTATAGTCAAAATCACAATTATCATTATAAATAATAAAATTCGAATTCTTCTCAAAAATTCAATTATTTTTTCGTAATTTTAATACAATTCTTTGCAAAATTCAATTATTTTCAAAAACAATAACACTCTTCATCAAAATTCAATTATTTTCTAAAATTTTAATAAAATTCTTGGCAAAGTTTCAATTACTTAAAATTTTTTTTTTTTTAATTCAATTATTTTCATAAATTACAATATTCATCACGAGAATTCAATTATTTTCAAGAATCTTAACAAAATTCTCGTCAAAATTTCAATTATTTTAAAAAAATTTTAATAAAATTCTTAGGAAAATTTCAATTATTTTCATAAATTACAATATTCATCACAAGAATTCAATTATTTTCAAAAATTACAATATTCATAATTGCAAAATTCAATTATTTTCAAAAAATTTAATAAAATTCTTGGAAAAATTTTAATTATTAAAAAAATTTTTTTTAAATCAATTATTTTTATAAATTACAATATTTATCACAAGAATTCAATTATTTTCAAGAATTTTAACAAAATTCTCGTCAAAATTTCAAATGTTTTCAAGAACTTTAATAAAATTCTTTGCAAAATTGAATTATTTTTAAAAAATTTTTCTTCATATAGAGTACAATATTCATCATGAGAATTCAATTATTTTCAAGAATTTTAACAAAATTCTCGTCAAAATTTCAATTATTTTCAAGAACTTTAATAAAATTCTTTGCAAAATTGAATTATTTTTAAAAATTTTAATAAAATTCTAAGCAAAATTTCAATTATTTAAAAAATTTTTTTTTAATTTAATGATTTTTATAAATTACAATATTTATCACGAGAATTTAATTATTGTCAAGGATTTTAACAAAATTCTCGTCAAAATTTTATTTATTTTCAAAAACTTTAATAAAATTCTTAGCCAAATTGAATTTTTTTAAAAAATTTTTCTTAATTCAATTATTTTCATATAGAGTACAATATTCATCATGAGAATTCAATTAGTTTCAAGAATTTTAACAAAATTCTCGTTAAAATTCCAATTATTTTCAAGAAGTTTAATAAAATTCTTTGCAAAATTGTATTATTTTCTAAAATTTTAATAAAATTCTTAGCAAAATTTCAATTATTTTTAGAAATAAAAAATTTTTTACGGAAACTCAATTATTAGAATCATTTAAATAAAAAATTTGGCAAAAATTCAATAATATTTGAAAATTTTATTAATTTTTTTTTTATAAATTTCTTCGCAATAATTCAATTAATTCCATAAATAATACATTTTTTTATGAATTCAATTATTTTTATAAATAATAAATTTTTTTTTATGAATTCAATATTCAATATTTTGATTTATTTTAGGAATTCAATTATTTTCGTAAATAATAAACCTCATTGCATAATTTTTATTCTTTTTAGTGTAATTTTTAATCTAATATCTCGAGAAATGTAGTTATGCTGAAAAATTTAATTAAAATTCGTCAAAGGAATTCAATTATTTAAAAATTTGTTCCTAAAATTTTTTATAAGAATTAAATTTTAAACAAACATTCAATTATTTAATAAATTATTTACTTTTGTATTTAAATAATTAAATAATTTCGAAAAGGTTTCGAATAAAAAAATATTTGAAAATTTGAATTTTCCATACTTTTCACTGCCAATTTTGAAGAACTAATTTTTTTGAAACTAATTTTTTTGAACTAATTTAATTTTTTTTTAATAATTTGAAGTGGAATGTGAAAATTTTTCCACATTCTCAGAAATTTTCCTTTATTTTCATAGGGAAATTTTTCTAAACGTTTAAAAGAATTTTTTCAAACTTCTGGGATTATTTCCACATTATACATTATATTTAATGGAAAGGTTTCTAAAATTCATAGGAAGTTTTCGATAATTTTTTAGAAAATTATTTACTTTAGTAAATTTTTCCAAAATAATTAGTGAAATTTGCTTTCTAATTTTTTTTTTTTAGAAAAATTTCCAAAATTTTTTTTTAGTGTATTTAATTGACAAAGTTGAAAATAATCTAAATTTCATGTAAATTTGAATTTTACAAATTTATTTTAAAATTTTCAAAGAACTTTTTCAAAAAATTATTAAAAATAGTTGATTTAGAGAATAATTTTAGTTAAAATTTCTAGAAAATTATAATAATAATAATAATAATAATAATAATAATAATAATAATAATAATAATAATATTATAATTTTTTTGGAGTGAATCAAAATATTCTTGAAAGTCAAAGGAAAATGTGAAAAAGTCTGGAAATCAGGGAAAAGAAAAACAATAATTTTTTGTAGAAACCCCTAGAATTTTTTTTTTTTAACAAATTCCTCGTTGTCGGCAAAAATTAAAAAAAATAAATTCCGTTACATTTCGAAATGAAAAATATTCTTTATCATTAACTTTTGAATTCTGCACAAGATCTAAATATTCAAGTTTTACATTGTCACCAATTTCTATATTTTTCGCCGAAGAAATTAAATTGTCCGCTAACAATAAAAATCGAAGACTCGACAATGTTGAATGATATCGAAAATTTTTGACACTATTACCAGACAAATCCAAAGATCGTAAATTAATCAGTTCATCAAAACTGTTGTCGATGAAATAAATTTCATTACCCCTCAAAGACAATCTTTCTAAATTCACTAAACCAAGGAAGGAATTTTTTTCCACCACTTGTATTTTATTATCCCCCAGAAGCAATTTTTTCAAATTTACCAATTTTGACAGATTTGGTACATTTGCTAGTCTATTGGTGTTTAAATTCAACATCTTTAAAGCAACGTTCGATTCAAAAGTTTCTTTAGAAAGAAAAGTGAGTTCATTTCTCGATAGGTCCAAATACTGTAATTTTCCATTTGATTTTAGAATTGTTTGGTCGAAATAATAAAGGTGACAATTTGATAGCGAAAGAAATTGTAAGTTCGGATTGTACTGGAAATCCAAACTAAGATTATTAAAATAATTCCCGGCGAGTGAAAGATAAGTGAGGGAATCTTGATTCTTCGTCGAGGAATATTTTTTTAACTGACAATTTTCCGCCTGTAGGTGAGCAAGACTTTTCGTGTCAAATTGAATTTGCAGGGCAGTGATTTTATTTTCGGATAAAATCAAATGCGTCACTCGTTTCGATGATGCGCTGACAATTAATTTGCATTCCTCTTGAAAACAACTTTGAGTGAAATTACGCATAGAAAGTATTTCCAAATTTGGTAATTGGAAATAAAGGTAAATTTCATCCGAAGGAAGGCCGAAAGTGGAAGAAGATGTTTGATAATTATCGTCTAGAATTAGAGTTCTTATTGTCGAGTGTTGAAAGGTTTGTAGTTCCCGCAAGTGAATTTTATTTTTCCCCAAATTCAAATACTCCAAATTTGACAGATTGAACAAGTTCAAATTTTTCAGTTCTTCAATTTCGTTGGCTTGAAGATCGAGGCAAATTATTTCAGAGAAATTAATTTTAGAAGTAAATTTCTTCTTTTGCGAGAGATCCAAAGATGAAAAAAAATTTTTATTCTTGATTCCTTGCTGATTTTTGCACCAAGCAAACGATAATTTTTCATCAATTGATTCTTTTTCCTTTTGGAATTCAGTTGCTTCCGTTAGTGAACGTAGTTCCTGTGTTAAAATTTTAACATCAATTTTTAAATTATTGAGGAAATTTTTTTTGTAAACTTGTTGAGGAAAACTTGTTAGTAAACTTTCTGGTAAACTTGGTAAACTTGGTAACGTTGTTGGTAAAGTTGGTAAACTTGGTAAATTTGTTGGTGAACTTGTTACTAATTTTAAACACACGATAATTGTCACTAAGTCTAATAATTGTAGACGAGCCATTATTTTTTTTTCTCACTAAAAACAAAAAAAAATTTTCACTGCTACAAAACAAACTTTTCACTTTGATATAAATGAGGATTCAAAGTAATAAATGAGAATTTTTCGAAATAAATCAGAATTTTATTCCCTATTTTTATTCTTCTCGTAAAATTATTTCCTCTTACCGTGATGCTTAGGGAAATTCAACTGCGAGATAAAACATAAATCCGGATGTAAAATTCAGAGCTAGAGTTGAAATTGATAAGGAAAAAATTTGTTATTTCTAAGTTTTTATTAATCTAGAACAGAGATTTTGTAATATTTGTTCGATAGGGTTTTTTGTAATGTATCTAAAAGTTTTTCTTTCTTTTTTATGAAATCTCTATAAGTGACCTATTTTAAAAATAGATAATTGACAAAAAATTGAAAAAAATTAATAATAATATAATAATTTTTTAGTAAAAATTAAATAATAATTAAATATAATAGATTTAGAGAAGAATTTTAGTTAAAAGCAGTAAAAAGAATTGAATTTTGGAGAAGTTTGAAATAATTGGAGAAATTCAATTATTTTCAAAAGTAATAAAATTCTTCGCAGAAATTCAATTATGTTCAAAATTTTTTTTAAATTCTCGACAAAGTTTCAATTATTTTTATAGAAAATAAAATTCTTCAATAAAATTCAATTGTGTTTAAAATTTTTTTTAAATTCTCGTCAAAGATTCAATTATCTTTATAAATAATAAAATTCTTCAATGAAATTCAATTATTTTTTAAAATTTTAATAACATTCTTGGCAAAATTTCAATTATTTTCAATGTCTACAATTTTTACAATATTTTCCTAAAGAATTCAATTATTCTTTGCAAAATTCAATTATTTTCATAAATAACAATATTCGTCACGAGAATTCAATTATTTTCAAGAAGTTTTAATAAAATTCTCGTCAAAATTTCAATTATCTTTATAAATGATAAAAATTCTTCTACAAAATTCAATTGTTTTCAAAAATTTTAATAAAATTCTTCGCAAAATTTCAATTATTTTCCCAAAATTGTCCTTCGGTTAATGATTTTCAAATTTCAATATCCACTATTTTAATAAAATTTTCCAAAAGAATTCAATTGTTTTAAAAAAAATATTAACAAAATTTCACGAAAAAAAATTTAATTATTTTCAAAAATAATAAAAATTTCACAAGAATTCAATTAATTTTTGTTTTATAAATTTCTTCGCAATAATTCAATTATTTTCATAAATGCCTAATAAAATTTTTTACAGAAATTCAACTATTTTCATAAATAAAACTCATGGTAGAAGTTCAATTATTTTTAATACAATTTTAATCGAATTTCTTCAAAAAATGTAATTATTCATAATTTTTATTAAAATTCATCAAAAAAATTTAATTATTTAAAAATTTGTTTGTAAAATTTATTATGATAATTAAATTTTAAGAAACATTCACAATTATTCAATAAATTATTTATTTTTGTATTTAAATAATTAAATTTTCATAGAATTATTTAAATAAAAAATTGATTTCAAAATTAAATTCAGTTAAAATTTTTTTAGATTATAATTGAATATTAAAAGTATTAATAGCGTGAATTTCTAGAAATAATTGAATTTTTGAAAAGGTTTTAAATTAAAATCTTTGAAAATTTGAATTTTTCATACTTATAAGTAACAATTTTTGTAAAAATGTTTATTTTCAAAAAGTTTAATTGAATTTTTTATTTATTAATTTTTTTTTTTTGAAATCATTTGACGTTTTTATTTTTTTATCTACAATTAAAGAATTTCCAGATAATCGATCAAATTTCATAGAATTGTAATTTTAAACAAACAAATTTGAAAATTCTCAAAGAACTTTTTCAAAAATAATTAAAATTAATTGATTTAGAGAAGGATTTTGGTTAAAAATTCAAGAAAAATATAATTGAATTGAAATGATGAAAATAATTTTGAAGTTTCAGTAAAAAACTATTTCTTTTCTATAAAAAATTGTGCCAAAAATTTAAAAAATTAGTGCTTTAAAAAAAATTATTTTTTAAAGAAAAATTTTTAAAAAAATTAATATTTTTAAATTATAAAAGTATTTCTTTAGTTTGATAAATTTTACGAAATTAATTCTTTTATAAATAAAATATATTTTTAGTTGGAAAAATTTTAAGAAATTAATGCTTTAAAAAATAATAGTTATTTTATTTGGAAAATTCGAAGCAATTAATTCTTTTCATTGGAATTTAATTTATTGATGTTTTTTTCACTTTTTAGAATTATTTCTCTTTCTCGAAGAAAATTTTCAAGAAATTTAATACTATTAGAAGTATTTTTTTGTTTTTGAAATAGAAGAGGAGAAAAACGAAATTGTAGAAAGAAATTGAAAAAACTTTTGTTAAAATAAAAAAAAATTTATTCTTAGAAATAAATTTTTTCAGAGGGAAAATTATTAAGGATTGATATAACTCGTGATTTTTTTTTTCGTTTATTTATTTAAAGAAGCATTTCAAAAATTTTCAGAGTACAATAATTGTAGTGATAATGCACAAAAGGTTACAGTTAACAATGTGTTCAAAAATAGTAAAAGTTACTAAAATTTAGTAGGCACGTGAGAATAATTTTCGAAAATAGGAAACAAAAGATCAGAGGTCGGAAATTTATGTTCGTTGATTATGAAGAAACGCTTAAATTATCTCTTAAAAATATTTGTTGATATTTTGAAATTATTATTAATTAGAAATAATTTTCAATTTGAAATTATTGTTAATTAAAAATTATTGTTAATTAGAAATTATTATCAATTAAAAATTATTGTTAATTAAAAATTATTGTTAATTAGAAATTATTGTTAATTAAAAATTATTGTTAATTAGTAATTATTGTTAACATTTAGAAATATTTATTAACTTCTTACAATTTTATTTCTTTTTCGAATTACGAAGCACAATTGTAGTATCATCCGATAAAAATTTAAACGAATTTGGTTGAAAAGATATCAAAGGATTGTCAATAAGAACCAAATATTTCAATGTTGTGTTACTCAATTCTACTTTATCTAACGAGGAAATTAAATTATCTGACAAAATTAAGTATTCAAGATTAAACGCAGGGCGATATTCCAAACTCGTGATTCGATTTTGAGAAAGATCGAGTGCAACTAAATTTAAAAGTTTATCAAAAACACTACTCTCAATAGAATGAATATTATTACCACTCAATGTCAAAATTTCCAAATTTTTCAAATTAGTAAAAGAATCCTGAGGGACATTTTTTATTTCATTATTACTAATGTACAATTTTTTCAATTTCGACAAACTACGGAAATTAGGTACATTCCTCAATTGATTCTTGTTTAGATTCAATGATTCCAATGCTGGTGTGTCTAAAAATAATTTATCGGAAATTTGTTTAATTTTATTTTCTGATATGTCCAAGTAAACGAGCTTCTGATTGGAGAGAAAAGCGTTGCAGGAAATAGTGCTTATTTCACAATTTGCCAGTGAAAGATATTTCAAATTCGGATGATTTTCGAAATTGATGCAATCGCCAGTTGGGCAGGAAAATTTATTATTGTCCATTGATAGAGAAGCTAAAGATTTTGTTTTATTCAATGGTGCTGAATATGTGGTTAGACTGCAACTTTCCACAAATAAGTGAGTCAATGTTGGGGGAAATTTGTCAAAAAACGTGGCATTTATTTTTTGTATATTATTGTCGGACAAGAATAAATGTGTTAAATTCGTAGAAGTAAAATCATATTGCGAAAAATCGTTCAAAGTATTATAACGATCATACGAATCTAAGGTTTTTTTAACACCTCGTAGAGAAAGATTTTCTAAGTTTGGTAGAAGAAAATAAATTGGTTTCACTTCTTGTAATTGTTTGCGTCTATTACTGGAATAACTGTAATGATAATCATCGTATTGATAATCATTGTGTTGATTAGCAACAACTTGTCTGTCCAAAATTAATGTCTTAATTTTTTGATGGGAGGCAAACTCTGGAATATTTTGTAAATTAAGTTTGTTTTCTGCTAGATTCAAGTACTCGAGGTTTGGTTGCATTTGAAAGATGTTGAAATCTACACTTGCTGAAAATTCGTTGCCATGTAGATCCAAGCATGTGACAAGTTGACTGGAAATAAATGTTTCTGGAAGTTTCTTTATTCCTAAATTTGAAAGATCCAGGGAAACATTATTCGGATGTTGCTTTTGACATGATTTTAGCGATAGGACATCGTAACCAAATACTGATTCACCAACCAGAGAATTTAGCTCTTCTGTTAATTGTTGCACATTTCCGAGAAGATCCGTTTGGAAGGTTTCTCCAAAATCAAGGCACAGAGTGATGATTACTAATCCAAATGATTGCCAGAAAAGTTGCATTTTTACTGACATAAAACAAATTTTTATTGTTTAGTGTTTACTGTTCACTTTTTACTGTGTAAAAATGTTTATTGTTTACTGTTTATTGTTCACTGTTTATTGTTGAGTCAATCACAAACTGTTTACAGTTCTCATCCAAAGAAACATTCACTTTGATTTTTGAAACTATTTACCAGAACAAATAAATTTTAACGCTTCTGTGAAATCCTTATTGTACGTCGCTCTACAAAAACTTACTGTCTCTAATTTTAGCAATAAATCTCTTTTATACATATTTATCCACCCACGTTAATTCTTGACAAGGGAATCATACGTGGAATCTTTTTTTTCTTCAAAAATTATCAAAGGTTAGACATAAATTTCCTCTCGGGTGACAACTAATGCTAAGGATTTAAATTTCCTCCGGATGCTGAAGATATTATCTGAATATTATGCTTGTGTCTTTGGTTAAATAATTAATTGACATGGGGGTTATTTCATCCACAGGATTTTGATCAATAAACAAATATTTTAATGTTGTGTTACCTAATTGTATATTAGTCATTGAGTACAGATAATTTTTGGTTAAACTCAAACACTGAAGACTGAAAGACGATTTATATTCGAAATTGAATATGTTATTTTTAGAGAGATCTAATATTCTTAAATTTGATAAATTGTTCATAGCATTGTCTTCAATGTAAACGATATAATTTCTACTTAGTGTTAAGACTTCCAAATTATTTAAATTATCAAAAGAATCTTCAACCAACCGTGAGATATTATTGCCATTAATATATAATTCCTTGAGGTTCGTTAAAGTTTTCAACTTTGGTAACTTACTACATTTATTGTTATTTAGATTTAAAGTTTCCAATGCGATCGTCTTGAGGAACAGCTTATCAGAAAGTTGATTCAATCGATTGTTTGACAAATCCAAATTTATGAGTTTCGAATTAGAATAAAATGTATTTTGTAAAATACTACTAATTTCACAATTTGATAAAGATAAATATTTCAAATCCGGATGACTATCAAAGTCCAAACAACCATCACTTGAAAATGAGTTGCTATCCATTGATAGATAAATTAAAGATGCTGTTTTATTTATTGATGCTGAATATGATTGGAGATTACATCTGTCCACAAACAAATGTGTTAATGTTGTGGGAAATTTGTTGAAAAACTCACTATTTATTACATCAATATTGTTGTCTGACAAAATCAAATGGGTTATTTTTGTCAAACTAAAGTCAAATGATTCAAAATTTTTATTGTCTGTGAAATTGATGTTGCGCAAAGAAAGTTTCTTTAATTTTCTTGGCCAAAACTTTAATACAGTATTAAAACCATCAAAACTTACTGTATAATCATATTCTTGTACTTGAAAAGCTTGTAAATTGTTTAAAATTAATGTTTCAATATTCTGCGAAACACTATAGTAAGAATAACTGAAGAAACTTTCTAAAACAATCTTGGTATTTCCTAGATTTAAATACTTGAGATTTGGCACTTTTGAAAAGTCACTTACATGTACTGTCGATCCAAAATTATTATTTTGTAAATCTAAACACGACACATAATCACTATTTATAAAATTGTTTGGAAGACTTTCTATATTTAAATTTGCCAGATTTATAGAAACACTTGTTGAATTTTGCTCTTCACATGCTGACCAAAATAATTTATCTTCGTCAATTATTGTTTCCTTGATCAATAATTTCGGTTCTCCTCTTAGACATTGGTCGTCAATTGGATTTTTTTGAAAACAATTTCCAAAATCGTAGCACATGATGAAAATCGTCAACAACTTGAACAATTGCAGTAAGTGTGCCATTGTTTTCAATGTTGTTATCACACAGATTAGATGAAATGGCGATTGAATAACAAAAATTGTTTAAAAATTACTGATACTCTTTGCAAATGCAGTGCTTCTGAATATCTTGAATTTACTGTCGCAGAATTCAAGAACTCACTGTCTCTCCAAAATTTATTATTCTCTTTTTATATGCTGAATTTGAAAAACAGATATATCATTTCTGCAAACCGACTGACATCATCGCACCACAACTTCCTTTATAAATTTCATCCTCCCACTTTAATTTTAGCAAGGGAATCCCGTACAATCTTTTATTTTTAATAAAATTATCAGCGACCAAAAAAAAAAAAAAAAATTTGCGGAGCAGAAAGCAACTAATGTGAAAAGTTTAATTCCTCTCCGGATGTTGGATATGATAATAAAAAACAAAGTTGATAGTGATTTAGCTTAAGATTTGGCTAACAATAGAGAAGTTGGTTTTAATGATGTACTACAGCTTTAAATTGGGTAGAACAACAGCAATTGCTTCTAACTTTTTAGGAATTAAGTTCAGGTTTGGCTAAAAATGCAGCATTTGTTTCTAATTAAATGATACAGTTTTAAATTTTACTTTAGGTTCAATTAATATTCGAATAAATGCCTTTATTGTTGTACTAGATCTTAAAATTCAGCTTTAGGTTTGCCTAAAATAGGATCCTTTGTTTTATTCTTAAAATTAAAAAAAGAACATACTTCCTCCGGATACATGGAGTGCAAATGATAAAAATTTATTATCTGAATAAAAAGGAAGCTACATTTTTGACAACTACAAAATGTAATTTAAAAAAAACCGTCGCCATAAATGTATGATAAAAGTTTATTAACCTAATGAAGGAAGATACAATTTTCTAATAATATTCGTTTTCTATAAACGTGCGAAACATTTTATGGCAAATGACAAGTTTGTAAATTTATGAATTGTAACTTAGAGATTTTTTTTTTTTGTTTAAAAAAGCTACAACTAAAATTACAAATGGGTAAAAACGGTAAATATTTCCTATGCTACAAAAATACGAAGTGTCTTTTGTTACATTTACTGCAAAACAATCGTCGTATCTTCTGATAAAAATTTAAGAGACTTAGGCATTAAATTCTTTAAAGGATTTCTGTCAAGTATCAAATATTTCATTGTTGAATTATCCAAATGAATATCATTAATTGAAGAAATTGAATTGTTTGATAAAATCAAATAATCGAGATTAAACGGTGAATTATAATCTAAACTCCTTATTTTGTTACCAGAAAGATCGAGTACAATCAAACTCGAAAGATTATCAAAAGTACTAGCATCAATCGCCACAATATTATTACTACTCAATGACAAGATTTCCAGATTTCCTAAATTAGTAAAAGATTTCTTATTCACATTTGTTATTTGATTATCGTTCACATATAATTTTTTCAAGTTCGACAAAGTATAGAGATTTGGTATTTTCGAAAGTTGATTGTTGTTTAGGTTCAATGATTCCAGAGCTGGTGTTTTCAGAAATACTCTATCAGAAAGTTGTTGAATTTTATTTTCTGACAAATCCAAATTAGTAAGTTTTGAATTAAAGAAAAATGTGTTGTGTGAAAGAATGCTTATTTCGCAGTGTGCCAAAGATAAATATTTCAAATTCGGATGATTTTCGAAATCCAAGCAATTACCATTTGAACATGAAAATGAATTACCATCTATTGATAGCGAAGTCAGTGATGCTGTTTGATTCACTGGTGCTGAATATGAAGTAAGTCCACATCTTTCCAGAAACAAATGAGTCAATGTTGATGGAAATTTTTTGAAGAATCTCTCATTTATTTCGCGTATTTTATTGTCGGACAAAAATAAATGTGTTAAATTCGTTGAAGTAAAATTTAAATACGAAAAATCGTTTTGATCATTATTAATAGGGTTAACCCTTCTTAATGAAAGATACTGTAAACTCGGAAAACGAAGATGAAGTATTTCGAAATTTGAGTAATCATAATATACGTAGCCATTATATTCCCTATAATATAATGTATGATCCAAAACAAGAGTTTTAATTTTTGAATGTGAAGATTCATTTAACAGCTTTTGTAGATTAATTAGATTTCTGGCCAGATTTAAATATTCCAGATTTGGTTGCATCTGAAAGTCGTTGAAATCCACATTATTTGAAAATTCGTTTAACTGCAGGTCCAGACAAGTGACATGTTGATTAGAAACAAAACTATTTGACAGTCGCTTTATTCCCAAAAATGATAGATCCAAAGTAACATTATCCGGATGTTGTTTTTCACATGTTGACAGTAATAAATTATCATAACCAAATTCTTCTTCATCAACCAATGAATGTAGTTCCTCTGGTAAATCAATTCCCAGTCGATTCTGTTGAAAAGTTCCTCCTAAGTCAAAGCACAAGGCAATAATCACCAATCCAAAAAGTTGCCAGAGAAAATCCATTTTTACAGACATGAAAAACTTTTTACTATAGTTACTTCTAATACTTTTCACTAGAACAGTAAGATTTTAGGAATATAAAATTATTCTACTACTTCTTGTACAACGACTTTTGAAAGCGAACTGTCACAGATGATGGTGAAGTCTCTTTTATAGGATTCAACCTCCCACATTAATTTTAACAAGGGAACCCCGAACAATCTTTTTCTCTGAAATTATAAGGAATTACGCACATAAATTTCCTTTCCGAGAGCGACTTATACAATGATTTAAATTATACAATGAAATTTAAATTTTCTCCGAATTTTAAATATGATCTGTAGAAAATAATTTCAAGAAAACAAATTTGATGATGTTAAAATTAGAACAATTTTTGTTCATTTTGTTCCAATATTTTCTCATTTGGTGGTCAGTTTGGCTAAGACTACAGCAATTGAAGACTAAACATTTTTTTTCTATTTAAATGCTGAAACTTAAAATTTTTATTTAGGTTTCACTAATGTGCCTAAATGAGTGCAGTTGCTTTTAATGTTGTAATGGAAGTTTAAATTTGGCTAATAAACATCAATTGATTCTAATTGTGGGAATTAGGTTTAGGTTTGACTAAAAGTGTATCATTTGTTTCCAATTAAATAGTGGAGCATTAAATTGTACTACATCTTTCAATTGAGCTTTAGGTTCGGTTAAAATTAGAGCAGTTTTGAAATTTGTCTTGCAGTTTTGAATTCGATGTTTGGTTTGGTTAATATTGAAGAAAATGCTTTTAATGTTGTACTGCATCTTTAGATTTTGCTTCAGGTTTTGCTAAAATTAGAGCAATTGTTTTTAATGATGCTCTACAATTTAAAATTTGATTGTATTTGTCATAATTAATGATTCACTATTGGAAGGATTAAAGAACATGATTCAAAGAATTTTTATTCTTAAAACTGTAATATAAATATAAGAAATTGATGATAAAAGTTTATTAATCGAATAAATGTTACAATATTCTACTAATATTCGTATTCTATAAACAATTGTGCGAAAAATTTTGACGCATTTGTCAAGTTTGTTATAAACTAACTGTAACTTACAGAGACTATTTTTTTGTTAAAAAAATTTACTTCTTCTTCTTCTTAAATGACTTTAGGCTTTGCCAACTGTCAGAACAAACACTTAGAGGAATAAGAATTAAGAATTAAAAGTGTCCATGAAATTGGTTAATGTGAACAAAAAAAAATGGCGTCAAACGCGATTCGGTAAACTATATAAATCTATGGCGGTTGATGAACACGTGTTGGGAGGTAAAGATATGAATTAAATATTTATACTATTGCAAATATGAGTTTAAGTCTGTTTAGAATCATTTCCTCCGAATACTTGAAGTTAGACAATTTAAAAATACAAATAAGTCAAAATTAGAGAACTATATAGACATTGTGAGGTTCCTTTTTTGTGGCTTTATTTTTTGCGTGTAAAAATTTAAAAATTAATCGAAAATAAAAATAAGTTGCATTCGATGTTAAAAAGAAAAGTGAAATATTAAAGAGAATAGACGAGAGAGTTAATAAAGAAAACATTTTAAAGAAAAATAAAATTTATATCGAACACAATTTTGCATTCATGCACCGTACGGCTCTGAGTGTTTATACTTTTTGGCGTCAAGGTGTCCACCCCGAACTTTAGACACCAGTACCGAGCAGTCTAAAGTTCGGAGGTTTCAGTGCACTGCAAAACAATCGTCGTATCTTCTGATAGAAATTTAAGAGACTTTGGCGTTAGACTTATTATAGGATTGCCGCCAAGTATTAAATATTTCAATGTTGAATTGCCTAAATCAATATCATTAATTGAAGAAATTGAATTCTTTGATAAAATCAAGTAATCGAGATTAAGCGGTGACTTATAATCTAAATACCTTAATTTGTTACCAGAAAGATTGAGTACAATCAAACTCGAAAGATTGTCAAAAGTATCAATCGCATCAATCGTCTTAATATTATTACTACTCAAGGACAAGATTTCCAGATTTCCTAAATTAGTAAAAGATTTCTTATTCACATTTGTTATTTGATTATTGTTCACATATAATTTTTTCAAGTTCGACAAAGTATAGAGATTTGGTATTTCCGAAAGTTGATTATTGTTTAGATTCAATGATTCCAGAGCTGGTGTTTTTCGAAATACTCGATCAGAAAGTTGTTGAATTTTATTTTCTGACACGTCCAAATAAGTAAGTTTTGAATTAAAGAAAAATGTGTTGTGTGAAATAACGTTTATTCTACAATTAGCCAAAGATAAATATTTCAAATCCGGATGACCTTCGAAATCCAAGCAATTACTATTTGAACATGAAAATGAATTACCATCAATTGATAATAAAGTTAATGATGCTGTTTGATTCATTGGTGCTGAATATGAAGTAAGTAAACATTTTTCCAGAAACAAATGAGTCAATGTTGATGGAAATTTTTGGAAAAATCTCTCAATTATTTCGCTTATTGTATTGTTGGACAAGAATAAATGTGTTAAATTAGTCGAAGTTAAATCTAAATATGAAAAGTCATCTTGATAATGAGCGATTCTATCAGAAGCAATATTTCTTAAAGAAAGTGTTTCTAAATTTGGTAAACGAAGATGCAACGTACTGAAATCTTTATAGTTTCGAGAATAGTAGCCATTTTTTAATATATGATTATTAATCTTGTCTAAAATTAAAGTTTTAATTTTCGAATGTGAAGTATTATTAAGTAAATCTGGTAGATTTATATCGTTTTGGGCCAGATTTAAATACTCGAGATTTGGTTGCATCTGAAAGTCGTTAAAATCTACATTATTTGAAAAATCGTTATTTTGCAGGTCCAAACATGTTGTTTGAACATGTTGATTTGAAACAAAACTCTTTGGCAGTTCCTTTATATTCGAAAATGATAGATCCAAAGCAACATTATCCGGATGTTGCTTTTGACAAGTTGACAGTAATAAATTATCATAACCAAATTCCGCTTCACCAACCAATGAACGTAGTTCCTCTGTTAATTGTTGATTACTTCCCAGTGGATCCTTTTGAAAAGTTCCTCCAAAATCAAAGCATAAGGTAATAATCATCAATCCAAATAATTGCCAGAGAAAATCCATTTTTGCAAACGTCAAGTTTATGCAAAATTTTGATCAACAGTTTAATACCTTATCTGTAAAGGAATGAAAATTGCTTATAATTTTTATAACTTAGATTCAATTATAAATAACCTTATAAATAAATTTTTTTACAATTATAATGACTTGGACGTACTTCAAAATTTTCAGAAAATAATTTTTAATAGAAGCATAAAATTTTTTGAAGCATTACTTAATTGGTCAAATTTGCATTGTTAATAATTTTTTACCAAAATAATTTAAACTAATTTATACAAAACAGCGTTTTTATTTTTTTCTTTTAACTGAAAAATAGAAAAATTATGCTTCAGGAGAAATTAATTTCTGTTGATATAGTGGATTTTACTTCAAATTCTTTATCTTACTTCATACTTCATCGTAACTGGGAGAAAAAAATTATCTTTATTATTAATTACTGACTCAGTTTTTTCGAAACGTTATATATTAGATTTACTTTTATCGCCTTATTTATTATTATGGACTATAATTAAATTTGTTTGGCAAACTTTTTCCAAAAATATGAAAACATATCTTTAGAAGTTTGATTAAACTTGTTTTTATGAAGCAAAGAATGTAATTTAACTTTAGTATTTTATGGAAAATCATTTTTTAATTATTGTGTGTCATTCGTACTTTGATTCCATAAAGAAATTTTTCTTTAAATTAAAATGAATAAATAATACAAAGCTTTTTGTAAAATGAAGCATTTGGTGAATTGTGGGCCACATTTTTGGGCAAGTATACTTGTTTTTATCGATTTATCACACAATGTAGTTAAATATTATTAAAATCATTCATTATTATCATAGCTATAGTAATTTAACAAAAACAATAAAATTTATTCATTGTGATTTATGCGATAGAGTTGTTCACTTAAAATACGTAACTAATGCGGCCTATTTTACTTGTCCAAATTGCAACTCCGATTAATTTCATTTTCTTTTCTAATCTTAAACTAATAATTAAACATTTATAACATTCTTAATATTTCTAACAATTTAATAAATATATTTCATCTTTATTTTTGATTTTGAACTTAATTTAGACAGTGGCCCACAATTCCCCAACATTTTTAAAAATTATAAAAGTGCACTCTTTGGACAAACTGACATTTCTTTTAGGTAGGTGATAATTTTGGAAAACTGTCTAACGTTTATACCGCCTGCTGACACTAAAAATTTAGAAATTTAAAAAAAAAATTTGTGTAAGATATTGAGGTAAGAAAAAATGTGACTCACAATACCCCAATTTCCCCTAATAATTTCAAAAAAATTTTGAATTTTTAGTTAAATTCTTTTTAGAATTATCATTTTATAAAATATTTAAATGAGAAAAATAAGTCCTTTCTTAAATAAGAAAATCACTAATAATACTATTTGTAATTAATAATTATTAATAATTTCGATGGTAAATTTTACATTTCTCAGTACTTTTATTATATAACGAATTCAATATTTATTTAAGAATCTTTTTTCACTTTGCACTTTTTTAAAAATATAATTTATATTTTTAAGTGTTTCTCATAATTAGATTACAAAATAAATTTTAATATATAATATACGAACCATAGAATTTGAAGACATCCAAAGACTTCTTCAAGAAACTCTTCTTTTTCTTCTTCTTAAATGACTTGAGGCCTAGCCAACTGTCAGAACAAACTGGTTAAGAAACTACAGTGATTGCTCCTCCTTGTTATGACTTTTTGAACTACAATGATTGAATTATATGATAATAAAAAGACGCCGCATTACTTGTTAGGGACCTTTTCTAAATGACTATAGTTAATGATTAAATATCTTTTCTCATTAATTACAAAACGATTAAATTTATTATAGAAACTAGAAACAATTCGCGTGCGGCTTACTTCTTTCATACTTCTTAAAATAAAATAATTTAGAAATGAAAATAATAGAAATTAAAAAATAAATTGTAATTCAAGTTTTTTTCATAAAAATAAAATATGATGTGGAATATAGTTTTAATACTATTATTACTATAATAATCTTATATTCTGAGACAGGGAATTTAAGAAATCTATTCACTTTTTTAGAAGGAAAATTTTTAAGGATAGATGTAATTTATGATGATTTTTTCGTTTATTTATTTAAAGGAGCATTTCAATAATTTTCAGTGTACAATAATTGGAGTGATAATGCGCAAAAGGTTACAGTTAACAATGTTCAAAAATATAAAAAGCTACTATAATTTTAGTACATGAAAATAATTTTCGAAAATGGGAAACAAAAATTTAAAGGTCGGTTATTTATTTTTGTTGATTGTAAAGTAAAGAATATTTGTTTCTTTTGGTGTAAAGTTTGGTTCATATAAAGATAATACAGTATAGATACGATAGATAATAAATATTTCTAAATGTAAAAATGTTCGTTATTTATTATTATTTTTATTATTTAGCAATTTTATCATTAATGTTTAGAAATTATCATTAATGTTTAGAAATTATTATTAAAGTTTATGAATTATTAATTTAGTGTTGAAGTTAACGATCATTTTAGGAATTATTATCAATGCTTAGAAATTATTGTTAATACATAGAAACTATTTTTAATTAGAAACGATTGTTAATTAGAAATTAATACAAATATTTAGAAATATTTATTAACTTCTTACAATTTTATTTCATTTTTCAAATGACGAAGCACAATTGTAGTATTATCCGATAAAAATTTAAACGAATTTGGTTGAAAAGATATTAAAGGATTGTCAATAAGAACCAAATATTTCAATGTTGTGTTACTCAATTCTACTTTATCTAACGAGGAAATTAAATTATCTGACAAAATTAAGTATTCAAGATTAAACGCAGGCCGATATTCCAAACTCCTGATTCGATTTTGAGAAAGATCGAGTGCAACTAAATTTAAAAGATTATCAAAAACACTACTCTCAATAGAATGAATATTATTACCACTCAATGTCAAAATTTGCAAATTTTCTAAATTACTAAAAGAATCCTGATCGACATTTTCTATTTCATTATTATTGATGTACAATTTTTTTAAGTTCGACAAACTACGGAAATTAGGTACATTCTTCAGTTTATTGTTGTTCAGATTTAGTGATTCCAAAGCTGGTGTGTCTAGAAATAATTTATCGGAAATTTGTTCAATTTTATTTTCTGATACGTCCAAGTAAACGAGCTTCTGATTGGAGAGAAAAGCGTTGCAGGAAATGGTGCTTATTTCACAATTTGCCAGTGAAAGATATTTCAAATTCGGATGATTTTCGAAATTGATGCAATAGCCACCTGGGCAGGAAAATGAATTACCATCCATTGATAGCAAAGATAATGATGCTGTTTGATTTGTTGGTGATGAATATGAATTAAGTTTACATCTTTCCACAAACAAATGAGTTAATGTTGATGGAAATTTTTGGAAAAATCTCCCATTTATTTCGTGTATTTCACTGTCGGACAAAAATAAATGAGTTACATTCGTAGAAGTAAAATCATAATATTGCATGAAGTCATATTCCTGAGAATTATAATTATAATTTGAGATTTCTTGTAAATGTTGTAAAGAAAGTTTTTCTAAATTTGGTAAACGAAAATGAATTGTTTTCACTTCTCTATAAATATTGTCACGGTAATAATTAGAAACAATTTGGTTATCTAAAACTAATGTTTTAATTTTTTGATGTGAAGCAATCTCTGCAATATTTTGTAAATTAAATTGGTTTTTTGCTAGATTCAAGTATTCGAGGTTTGGTTGCATTTGAAAGATGTTGAAATCGACACTATCTGAAAATTGGTTGCCCTGTAGATCCAAGCAAGTTACATGTTGACTGGAAACAAAAGTTTCTGAAAGTTTCCTTATCTCCAAATTTGAAAGATCCAGTGAAACATTATTCGGATGTTGCTTTTTACATAATTTTAGCGATAGAACATCGTAACTAAATACTTCGTCACCAACCAGAGAATTTAGTTCATCTGTTAATTGTTGCACATTGCCGAGAAGATCCGTTTGGAAGGTTCCTCCAAAATCGAAGCACAGAGTGATAATCACCAGTCCAAATAATTGCCAATGAAAAACCATTTTTACAAACTTTTGTTTTTATTTGTTCACTTCTAAAACTTTTCACTGGAACAATAAAATTTTAACAAAGCAAAATTATTTCACAATTGCTCAGACAACGATCTCTTAAAAACAGACTGTCACAGAATTTAGTGGAGTTTCTTTTATAAAATTTATCCTCCCACAGTAATTTTACCAAGGGAATCCCGTACAATCTTATTTTTCTGAAATTATCAAGGATTACACATATATATTTCCTTTCTGAGTGCGAATATTATAAAGATTTTAAATTTCCTCCGGATGCTGGATATGATTATAGAAAATAATTTCTAGAAGAAAAATTTGATTCTGACAAAGTTAAAACAGCTTTTTGTTCATTTTTTTGTTCATCAGGTTTTGATAAAATAAGAGCAATTGTTTTTAATGTTGCGCTACAATTTAAAATTTAATTGTATTTGTCATAATTAATGATTCACTATTGGAGGGATTATAGAACATGATTCAAAGAATTTTTAGTCTTAAAACTGTAATATAAATATAAGAAGAACATATTTCCTCCGGATGCACTGAGTGTAAATGATAGAATTTTTTTATCTGAATAAAGAGGAAGCTACATTTTTGAAAACTACAAACTATAATTAAAAACTATCACCAAAAATTTATGATAAAAGTTTATTAACCAAATAAAAGGTTACAATATTCTACTATAATATTCGTATTCTATGAACAATTGTGCAAAAAATGTTGACGCAATAGTCAAGTTTGTTACATAAAAGAGTATAATTTCTTAAAGGTTACAACTAAACTTACAAATGGATAAAAACAGTAAATATTTATTTTCGAATTACAAGAAGTGTTTTCTATAAATCTGCTGGTGGTTTTTGCAGAACAATCGTCGTATCTTTAGATAAAAATTCAAGAGACTGTGGCGTTAGACTCATTAAAGGATTATTGACAAGTATCAAATATTTCAATGTTGAATTACCCAAATCAATATCCTTGATCGAAGAAATTAAATTATCTGTTAAAATCAAATAATCGAGATTAAACGGTGAATTATAATCTAATTTCTTGATTTTATTACCAGAAAGATCGAGTACAATCAAACTCAAAAGATTATCAAAGGTACTGCCATCAATCGCCCCAATATTATTGCTACTCAATGACAAAATTTCCAAGTTCTCTAAACTAGTAAAACAACCCTTATTCAAATTTGTTATTCGATTATTTTTCAAGTATAATTTTTTCAAGTTCGACAAAGTATGGAGATTTGGTATTTCCCAAAGTTGATTGTTGTTTAGGTTCAATGATTCCAGAGCTGGTGTTTTCAGAAATACTCTATCAGAAAGTTCTTCAATTTTATTGCCCGACATGTCCAAATAAGTGAGTTTAGAATTATAGAAAAATGTGTTGTGTGAAATAACGTTTATTTCGCAATTTGCCAAAGATAAATATTTCAAATCCGGATGACTTTCAAAATCTAAGCAACCACCCTTTGAACATGAAAATGAATTACCGTCCATTGAGAGAAAAATTAATGATGCTGTTTGATTCATTGGTGATGAGTATGAATTAAGTTTACATCTTTCCAAAAACAAATGAGTCAAAGTTGATGGGAATTTTTGGAAAAACCTCTCATTTATTTCGTCTATATTATTGTTGGACAAGAATAAATGTGTTAAATTTGTGGAAGTAAAATCTAAATATGAAAAGTCATCTTGATCATCTCTATTAGGATCCATTGCTTGTAATGAAAGATACTGTAAACTCGGTAAACGAAGATGCAACGTACTGAATTCATTGTAGTCATGATTATAGTTGCCATATTCTATTCTATAATTGTAAATCTTGTCTAAAATTAATGTTTTAATTTTTTTATGTGTAGTAATATTTAGTATTTCTTGTAGATTAACATTATTTTCGGCCAGATTTAAATATTCGAGGTTTGGTTGCGTATTAAAGACGTCAAGATTTATATTGTCCAAAAAATTGTTACCCTGTAGATTCAAACAAGTGACAAGTTGACTAGAAACGAAGCTCCTTGGTAGTCGGTTTATTCCCAAATTTGAAAGATCAAGTGAAACTTTATCTGGATTTTGCTTTTGACATGTTGAGAGTAATAAATTATCATAACCAAATTCCTGTTCACCAACCAATGAACGTAGTTCCTCTGTTAATTGCTGGTCACTTCCAAGTGGATCCGGTTGAAAAGCTCCTCCAAAATCAAAGCATAAGCTAATAAATCATCAATCCAAACAGTTGCCAGAAAAAATCCATTTTTTCCATCGTCACGTTTATGCAATTTTTTATCAAACAGTTTTTAATGCCTTATCTGTAAAGGAATGAAAATTTCTTATAATTTTATAATGATTCAATAAATTCAATAAAGTATTTCTAAATAGATTCAATAATTAATATTCTTAGAAATAAATTTTTACAATTAAGGATAATATGACAGTGATTCAGACAAATTTCAAAAATTTTAGAAAATAATTTCTAACACAAACATTTTTACAAAAATATTTTCTACTAATTTATAGAAAATATTATTTTTACTTTTTTCTTTTAACTGGAAAACAAGAGAATTATGCTTCAGTAGAAATAAATTTCTGTTGATAGTGGATTTTACTTCGAACTGTTTATCTTACTTCATACTTCATCTTAACTGGGAGAAAAAATTATCTTTATTATGAATTATTAATACAATTTCTTCGAATTGGATTATAAACCGTTTTTTTTTTCATTATTTTATATAAATATAATGAAAATTCCAAATAATTTACAAATTTTGCAAAAGAATTTAATTATTTAAAAAGAAATTGATAAAATTCATCCTTTCAATTATTTTCATAAATAATAAAATTATCGCAGAATTTCAATTATTTTTAATACAATGTTACAGAAATTGCTCAAAAATAGTATTTTTAATACTATTTTAAATTAATAAATCGAAAAATTCAATTATTTTTCACAAATAAAGTTTTCTACAAGAATTCAATTATTTAAAATAAAATTTTCATATTAATATTTATTATATTTAAAAAATTCAATTATTTTCAAAAATAACAAAATTTTTCCCAAGAATTCAATTATTTTCAAAAATAACAAAATTTTCCCAATAATTCATTTATTTTCAATTATTTTAAATACAATTTTAATTAATTTTTTTTAAATAATTCTATTATTCTTTTAGATTTTAATAGAATTCTTCCAAAGAATTCAATTATTAACATAAATAATTCTTCGAAAGAATTCAATTATTAAAGATAAACACACCAAAGTTAATCCCGAAAATTCAATTATTTTGAAAAATTCGAAAATGCCATACAGACATTCAATTATTTTAAAAAAATTTTAATAGAATTCTTTGTAAAATTTAATTATTTTTAAAAACTTTTAACAATTCAATGATTTTCAATATTTACTCATAAAATTGAATAAAATAAATAAATAAACAAATAAATAATAAATAAATAATTTAATAAATAAATAAAATATTTATTCATAAAATTTACAATTATTTAATACATTTTTGTAAGAATTCAATTCTTTTTATGAATAATAAAAATTTCTCAGGAATTCATTTTTTTAAATTAAAATTTTACATAAAATATTAATTATTAATTAAAAGTCGAAAAAAATAAATTTTTTATAAAATTCTTCGTAAGAATTAAATTATGGTAAAATTTTTTATAAAATTCTTCTCAAGAATTGAATTATTTTTAATTTTTTATAAATATTTAAATTCTATCATGAATTATAAAATTCGTTGCTACTTTTTTAAAAATTAATTATCGAATGCGAAGTCTGAAATATATTTTTAATTCTGATATTGAAAATTGAACAAAAATAAACACTCGATTTAATATTTTTTTATGAATCTTTTTTCACGTTGCACTCTTTTTTAAAATGGTAAATCATAGTTTTTAGTGGTTCTAATAATTAGATTAAAAAATAAATTTTAATAAATAATATACGAACCCTCAAAGTTGAAGACATCCAAAGACGACAGCTTCTTCTTATGGCTTTTAAAATTACAGTGAATGAATCTTTTGATAATAAAAAGACGCTTAATTACAGCGCCACTCAGTTTTAGTGGACGCTTCTAGGAACTAGATCAGTACTCATAAAATAAATCATAAATTACAATTTATCTCTAAATTACGAACAACTTTAAGAATTATAATATATGTAGAATTTATCACTTGGTCAAATATATAAACAATAGATGGAATATATCAACCAATCTAAGTCAGGTTAATAATAGAAAACACACATGTCTTATTTTAACGTTTCGACAGTCACAGCCGTCTTCTTCAGAAACTAAAAAAATTTTTTTATTTATATTTTAATTAAAAATTATAAAAAATAAAAAAACACAAATTTAAGTAAAGTAAAATAAAATTAGAATAAAATTTTAGGATTTTAACTTTAACAATTTTTATTAGATATTATATTTTATTCAGAATTAATCAAGAGAGATGGAAATAATTAAATGATTGTATTAGTATTTTTTATTCTTTATAATATTCATTTCACTAGTTGCGATATGACTAAAAGTGTTCATAAAGATACAGGATTTCTTTAAAGAGACGATAATAAAATTTAATTTGAAATCCGAGTTGAGAGTTGTAAATTAATTTCGATTTAAGAAAGATTACGCGATTAAAATTTTTTGCTTGTTAGGTATACCTTTCCTCAATGACTATGGCTAATGATTAAAAATCTTTTTTTTATTAATTACGAAACTATGATACGAATTAATAACTATTGTTACACTAAAAATTTTTTGAGTTTACTAAAAAAAATGGTGAAGAAGGTAAAAAAAAGAAAAAAGTAACAGAAAGGGAGAAAAAGAAGGAACATAAAAGAAAAAAGGAAAAGATGAAAAAAAGAAAATTGAAAAGAGAAGGAAAAGAAAAATTGTTACCAAATTTAAAAATCGATGTGCAATTTGGAAATATTAAACGAACGTACTTCAGAATCATTGATTTGATTTTGTCTAAGATCTAAATATTCAAGGAAGGCAGTGCCAATTCTCGTGGCATCGGCTAAACACTTAAATGAATTTCCCTCAAGATATAAACGACGAAGACTGAATGGCATTTGCCATCCGTCAAGTGTTCTCAAACGATTCTCACCAAGATGCAGTTCCTCCAATGCAATTAAATTACCAAAAGAATTCTCTCCAATTCTCTCAATTCCCACATCATTCAACCATAACGCTTTCAATTTCTTCAGTTCACAAAATCCATTGTCAACAATTCCAATTATTCTCGTGTGGTCGAGAATCAATAATTCGAGATTCGTTAGAACACAAACTTTTGGTACTTCCGTCAATGGATTACTACTCAGATTTAACTTTCGCAAATTATTCAATTTCCCCAAAGAGTTTTCATTTAATTTATCAATATTATTACCCGATAAATCTAATTCAATAAGTTTTCCATTCTTCTCAAAGGCATTTGCCTCGATTTCAAATAGATTATTACTGGCAATTAGTAATTGTTCCAATTGGGGGAATTTCTCTAGACACAGTGATCGGATGTTGGGTTTTTGGGTGCAACCGATTTTTTCAAAAACGTTATCATTCAGACTTAGTAGACGAAGATTTGGACTAACATCGGGAAGTTTCCCTAAATTATTGTTATCGAGAAACAAGTGCGTTACTAGGGCGGATATTTTTAGAGAACCTTGATAAAAATAATTATTCGAGAGATGTAGGTGTGTCAAACTACTCGTGAAGAGGATATCAAGATTATTCAAACCCAAATTTCTCAGGTAGAGATGCTTCAGATTTGGATAAATCCCAACAATTTTGAGAGTCGCGATTCTCTTGTTATCGTCCAAGTTGAGAGACTCGATATTCACTAGGTCTTGATTTTGAAAAAATGTGTTCACATCTAGGGAATTTTTCGCTAAATTCACTGCACGAAGATTGGGGAATTTTTTGAAAAACCCAGTTGTGATTTGATGAATCCCTCTTGATTTGAGATCCAAACAATCCATATTTGTCAAACCGGTGAATAATTTCTCGTCTAGATTCTCGAACGTCGCTTTCAATGGAAGAAGTCCGGGAATATTTGTCCGGCAATTCTTTAACGGATGATAATCACTGACCACATCCTCCAAATCATCTGATGCTTCTTGTAGGGAACAATTCCCCAATGTCCAGATAGAGAAAATTAGAAGTGCATTGATCAGCACCTTCCTCATTTTAGAATAGATTTTTCCAATTGCTTTTGAAAGAAAGAACACTTGTTTTTTGATTGTATAATCAATTTGCATCGAGAGAATTAAGAGAAAAATTTTTGTTACTTACGTAACAATGTGGAACTAGTTGTAGAGAATAATGTTAAACTTTTGTTTACCAGAAACTGTTGTACAATTGAAGATGAATATATAACTGACGGTGGAATGGTTCAAGTTCCAAGATACAGGGAGAGAGTTGGGAAGACACGATACACTTTGAACTTTGATCCAGAGACCTCGATAAGACTGGGTTATTATCAAGGCGAATTGCGTATACCGGAAATTGTGTGTTTCTGTTTCTATTGTTAGGAAATAGGGCAAGTGGGATTTAGCATTGTTTGTTTTGATGATGAGAATTTTGTTTTTTTTTCGTTGTGGAGGGAAACAAAAAACTGAAGAGGAGAGTTGTTTTTAGGTCAGAATTGATAATGTTCTGTTTTGATAATTTAATTTATTGTTCCGTGACATGATTAGAGAATGTACCATCCGTAATTTTCGGTTATGTTCCATTTGGATCGATTTTTAGGTTTTGTATTCCTTGGCTAATGACGAAAATTAATAGTTTTTTGTGTGATTCATGTTGTACTGATTTATTTCCAGATGATTTTTGTTTACCATCCGTACTTTTTGGCATTTTTCGTTTTGGATCATGCTACAAATACTTGTAGCTTAATTATTTTCTTAATTTTTACTTCTGTTAGTTTTGGTCCAATGCTACAATGTTTGTTTGTTTTTACAGCATCCGTTATTTTTTACTTCTGTTAGCTTTGGTCCAATGCTACAAAGTTTGTTTGTTTGTACAGCATCCGGTAATTTTTGCTTCTGTTAATTTGGGTTCAAAGCTACAAATTTCATTTGTTTGTTCAGCATCCGTAATTTTTTACTTCTGATATTTTTGGTCCAATGCTACAAAGTTTGTTTGCTTGTACAGCATCTGTAATTTTTGGATCAAAATGATTACAGATGTTGTACCACTAAAAGTGGTACAACATCTGTAATCATTTTGATCCAAAACTAACAGAAGCACTTTTTGTGGTACAACATCTGTAATCTGATTGATGTTAGTAATCCTTTAGTAAAATTAATATTTGTTCATAAAATGGATTATACGATACAAATCCGTCATCATTTATTAAATACAATTCAAAAATAATGGCAAAATTAGGAGTCAATGTTTGTTAAGGATTAAGATGCACCAAATTTTCTTTGTTTGTTGCATCCGTAACTTTTAGGTCTACTTGGTTTGGACCAACAAAAATAATAACTATTTCTTTATTCAGCTAATAATTTTTGTACAGATCTTTAATTTTGTGTTTAGGTTAATCATAAAGAACTAAAAATCTAATGTTCAGTTCCAAAAGAGCAGAATTTTTGAGTATCTAATTTCTTAATAATGATTCTGCTATTCCGAAGTCGAACTTGTGGGGCACTTATTTACAGTTAGAATAAATAATACAGGACGAATGATTGTGTAAAATTAGGCAGTAGGTTCGCAACTAGAATTAGGATTACAATTACAATTAGAATTAGGATTACAAGTACAATTAGAATTAGGATTACAATTAGAATTAAAATTACAATTAGGGCTACAATTAGAATTGCTATTACAATTAGAATTAAAAATTAGGGTTACAATTAGAATTCTGATTAGAATTAAAATTACAATTACAATTACAATTTGCTAACCCAAATATTCAGAAAAATGTTCTACCATATCAAATTTTCACCAGCAATGCACTGATCATAGCATCGTCCCTTCATCGCTCGACATTCACTAATCACATGAATAACAACATCCGACGAAAGATGCTGCGTACAACTAACACTAATCATCGGATTTTTCTGCAAATACACAACCGACAAATGATAAGCACTGTCCAAACACAAATCACCAAAACTAGTGAAATGATTCCCTCGAACATCCAAATTCTTAAGACTTCCCTGCTGCCTCCACCAGAATCTATTCAATCTCTCCAAATTATTATACGAAAGATCCAATTCCTCCAACCGCGGCAGTTCAATAAACGAATCCGTGTCAATTCGACAAATTCGATTATTAGCCAAAATAATCTTCTTCAACAATCGTAAATCCCTGAATGTTCCCGTCGTGATAAATTCAATCCGATTGTAACCCAACGAAACACTCAATAATTGTCCATTGCTTCTCAAATTTGGTACCATCGTCAGACGATTTCCGGTCAAATCCAACTCTTTCAAATTCCGTAGATTTACGAAAGTTCCAGGCTTGATGACTTCGATTTGATTGTTCGCCAAATTCAGTGTTGTTAAATCGCACGTGGTATCAAAAGCGTCCTCCTCAATTCTATTGATTTCGTTGTGCGTCAAAGAGAGGAATTTCAACCGCCTGGCATTGCCCAGACGAAGTGTCCTCTCCTCATAACAATGCCCCCGACAAACGGATCTCAATCTATTGTGATCCAAAAATAAAAATTCGACATTCTCCATTATTTCACCACCGAAACTCCCAATGCGATTCCGCTCCAGATAAACATAGGTGAGACAATTCGGAACATCCCTCACGAAATTCTCGTTCTCGATAAAATTATCCGAGAGGTAAAGATGACGAAGCGTGGGAAAAGCATGGCGCAGGGAAAATTGAAGACTTCTCAGCCAATTTTTCCTTAGGTACAAACTATCAACACTTGGAAAACAATCACTGTGAGTAATATCACGACCATAGTCATCCACAGGTACTTGATTTTCGTCTAAAATTAGCGTTCGTAATTTGTAATTGTCACCGCCGAATGTGAGAAGATCACAGAGGGGAATTCGATTTTTGGAGAGATCCAAAAAGAGGAGATTTGATAAGGTATTGAAGGTGCCGGGTTCAATTCGATCGATGTTATTGTCACGGAAACTGAGACAGGAGACGTCGTAACTGCTGATAATGCCACGATAGAGATTCCGAACACCGCATCGAGGTAGAAATAGAGTGAGATCTTTTCTCTTCAGATCTTGACAACTTCCAGTTGGGAGAATTGGATTGTCGTCGGAACGGGATCTCAGATCGATGGAATGATAGAGTCCAACCAATGGAAAGGAGACACTTGAAATGTGATGGCCATTGATGAGAAATACTTGGAATATGAGGATGATTATTAATTTGGTTATTTGTCCCATTCCTGTAGGTGAAACAAAAAATTAAAGATTAAACTTTTTAAAAGTTGGTAACATTATGAATTAAAATTTGAAAAATAAAATTAGGAATTAAAATTAAAAATTAACCCGGGACACTATAGTAGTCACTATTTATTTTGATGAATCTTTTTATCGAATTGACTTCTTATGTATAAATTTTTTTAAAGTAAAAAGTTACTAAACTCTGTGCAAATTTACAGGCCCTCTAAAAATTAAGAATTAAAATTGAGGCTCCGGATCTTAAAAGGGCACTTTCAGGATTGATTTTAAATGGTAAAAGTGCCTTTTTAAGATCCGGAGCCTTTTTAATTTTAAAGTAAAATTAAGAATTAAAATTAAAAAGTAAAATTAAGAATTAAAATTATAAAGTAACATTAAGAATTAAAAAATTAAACTTAAGAATTAAAATTATAAAGTAACATTATGAATTAAAATTAAAAAGTAAAATTAAGAATTAAAATTATAAAGTAACATTAAGAATTAAAATTAAAAAGTAAAATCAAGAATTAAAATTGAAAAGTAAAGTTAAGAAATAAAATTAAATAATTTTTTAGGCTGTGAAGCAATTTTAACTCGCGGAGTTCTTTGAGTGGGAGAAAAGTGCGCGCGCAGCCTGGGAGAAAGTGGGGCGAGGCTCCTGATTGGCGCGCGCAGTTTTCTCGTTTTAAATTCTTGCACTGTGAATTTCATCTACTATTTAATTTTAAATGTAACTAAAAATAATTAAACAAACGAGTTAAATAAATATTAAGTATTAAAATCTTGTAAATAATAATAATAATAAATGAATTAATTTAATTGATAATTAATTAGTAATTTAATGATTTATTTAGTATTAACAATAATAATAATTCACTAATAATAATTTATTATTAATAATAATTAAATAAAGTAATATTTCGGTAATACAATAGGAAAAATTTAATAAATTATAAATATAATAATTAATAATGTTTATTATTAAATAATATAAATATTTAAATATTATAAATAATGATTTGTATGCAGTAAATAACAAAATAACAAAACAATTCTAAAATTACAGAATAATTACAAGAAATTATTATTTATTTATTTATTTATTTACAATAAATAAAATGAGATAATAAAAATAATTATCTAATTGCAAGTAATAAAATTATTTTAATAATTATTTATTATTAATTATTTGCGATTATTAAAAAAAAGTTTAATATTAAATAAATATTTGAATTAAAATTTTTTAAATAAATGTTAATAATAAATAAATAGGTAAGTATTAAAAGTAATAAAAAAAAATTTTTTTTAATGGAGAAAAAAAAAGTTTTTATTTAAAAGTTTTTATTTGCAACAAATAAAAAGAATTATAAATTTGAATAAAATTGAATGATTAAGAAATTTTGTTTAATTAATTAAGGAATACAATTTAAAAAATTAAACATTGTTAAAAAATTTTTAAAAAAATTTATGTCTGGAATTTATTTTTTTTAGTTTACTAAGAAGAATCGAATATTTTTTTCAAACAAAAATACTTTTCTTAAAGAAAATATATCTTTTCTCTTTAGATATCTAAAAGAATAGAATTAAAAATCTAATTATAATTTTCTTTTTGTATAAAATTTTGTCTTTCATAATTTTTTCTTTTTTGAAAATTAAAATTTGATGGTAATTGATTGAAAGCAGATCGCTACATTATTTGATGTGAATGTAGAGAATTGTTTTTATGGTAAATGCTTCAATAAAATATCATTCTTACCATTTGTCGAAATTCGATATAAAAACAATGTTTAATAATAATTTTTATTTTTATGTATAATAGTAAAATATTATTAAAATTTTTTAGATGGAAATTGACAGTAAATAAATTTAAAAATTTAATTTGCATTTAAATTTCGATTCTTAAAAGTTGTAAAACTGAGAAAAAGTTATGTTTACTTTATCTGAGCTTGATAAATGTTTTTTTTTTTTGAGTTCATTACAAGTTTTCGTTTATCAATTGAGAAAATAAATAAAAGTTTTCAATTTTCAAAGGTAGGGAAATATTTCAAAAAAAGAGGAAAATATAATTACAAAGAATATATTAATTATTATTTTACAATTATCATTTTATTATGAATTATTATTATGAAAAATTATTATTCTGAATATTATTTATTGTTATTATTACTAAAATTTACAATAAAAGTATTTATTAATAATAAAAGAAAATAAGAAAAAGAAAATTTGACAATAAAATCTAAATAATTTTAAAAAAAGTTACTCAAACATTTTTAACTTTAAAAAACAGAAATTAATAAAAAGAAAAAATAGTAAATCCCATTTTTAACTAAACAAATTTTTCCCTAATTTAGATTTTTCAAAATTTTACAAAAAGCAAAGAAGGAGGGGAAGTGATTTAATTTTTAGAAAGGGAACAGAAAATTTATAATTGTTTTTTTCTAAATTAATTGTAATTAATAAAAAATTAAAATAAATTGTTTTTTAGTTAAATTAATTGTAATTAATAAAAAATTAAAATAAATTGTTTTTTAGTTAAATTAATTTTTAATTACATAGTTAAATTAATTAAATAGTTAATTAAAAAACAATTTTTTCATAAACTAACAGCTGAAAATGGATAACTATTTTGAAAAAAAGAAATAAAATGAAAAAAAACTTACTTTAATTGAGAAGTGATTTTCACATGAAACTTTAGCGACTTGTGTGACAAATCTAATTCCCACTTTGCTTTTATAGTGTGATCGATAGACTATAGGCTTTTTTAAAAAAAAATAAATCAGAAGCTCCCAATGTCGTCTACGTAATTGACGTTACTCGTGGATTATCTCTCTAGTTTCGAAACTCATTAGGATTTGCTCTTTTGCAGTATGCACTTCTGATGTTTTGATTAGATAATTTTTTTCTTCCTCCCCCTCTTTTATTGAAAAGCCTATTTTAAGATTTTTTTTTCATCATCATCATCAAAAAAGAAAAATTTTAATCTCAGTCAATTTTTTTTCTTCCGTAAATAAATCTTTGTAGATTTTTTTCTTTTAAATTAGTATCATAATTTGTTAATATTATTATATTGTTAACAACCTAATGCTCGTATATTGAATAAATAAATAATTTATTGTTAATATTTTTGTTATTTTCTAAATATTATTTTTACTTTTTCTTATTATTATTATTACAATTATTATTATTATTTGTTACTGTTGGTTTTATTTTAAATAATTTATTATTTATTAATTGTTTTATTTTTTTTTATTTTTATTATTTATTGTTACCAATATTATTATTATTTTTTATTTTATTTTTTATTCTTATTTCAATCACTTTAACCATATTTGAATCATTTTATTATGCTGCATAATATTATAATATTTATTTATAATATATTTTTTTTATTATTATAATATTTATTTATAATATTTTTTATTATTATTATTATATTTTTTTATTATAAATAAATAAATACCAATTATTATTAATATTAAATTATTTATTCAATAGTTCACGTACTTTAGCAGAAAGCAAAAAAAATTAATTAAAAAAGGAAATTAAAATCTTTATTAAATTTACAATAATTGGAAAACAAATTTTTTTTCAAATTCACTAAAAAAATTCTTTGAAGCAATCAAATGAATGAATCAGTTAATAGTGTTTTACATTTGGTAATGTCATGGACGTGGATGAGATTCTCGTGCCATACAAAGTCTTTACCAAGGTTTTTCTGCGAGCATTCGTTGCAAAATTGTGTAATATTTAATAGCAAAATAATCGACTAAAAACAAACGATAAATAATACACAATTATCAAATAATTTATTACTGTCATCATTGTTTCATTATTACTATTAATAATATTAATATAATAATTAAAATAATTAATAATTATCAATGAATTTACTTTTAGTCAATACACAGAAATTAGTATTATTGTAACAAAATTATAATAATTATTATAACAAAATTCATTATAAAATAATTTATATTCAAAACTTGATTACCGATTATCAATTCTATCTTAATTAATAATAATTGTTAGGAAAAAAATATTCTTCCCTTCTGATTAAATTATTTATTTTTATTAAATTGAACATATTTCGAACATAATTTTACAATTTTTTTTCTAATCATTAAAAAAAAAATTATATTTAAAAAATATGTACTGTTTTTCGTTCTTTTTTTGTTTCTGATGATTTTTAATAAACCGAGAAAATTTTATGTTTCAATCAATTAATTTTTTGAACAAAAGGAATTTTTTCCAATTTTCCATTAGAATTAACAGTTAAATTTAATTCCTGACTATTTGTATCATTAGGACATTTAGCTTCAAATTTATTCTCAAGAAATATTGTCACAGTTTTGGGAAAATTTGCAATTATCGTTTTTGTATTTAAATATTTAATTGGATTATTTTTGAGTAAAATAATTCTCAACGAATCCATAAAGCCAAGTGATAGACTTGAAAAGTTTTGAAAACAATTTCCACTTAAATCTAAAGTTTCAAGATTCTCAACTCCCGTCAACCAATTTATTGGTAAATGTTCAAGTTTGTTCAATGACAAATCTAAATTCTCAAGTGCCATTAAATTACAAAAGGAATCGATTTCAATTGTTTTCAACAAGTTTCCCCTCAACGACAATGTCTTTAGATAGGGAAAATTTTTAAATTCACCCGCACAAATTTTTTCAATTCTATTAAAGTTGAAATTTAAATTTTCAATATTTTCCAAACTCGATAGAATTGGTAGTGTTTGCAATTTATTGCTATTTAGTGATAAATTTTTCAATTTTCTCAAAGAATTAAATGTTCCCTTACGTATTAGTTCGAGTTTATTTTTCGAAAGATCGAGATTTTCGAGAGAATTAATATCGTCGAATGAATCAGGTTCTAGATCATTGATATTATTTTCTGAAATTGATAAATTTTTTAAATACTTCACATTGTTTAGTGAGAGCGAATTTTCGTGACAATAAGTATTGCAGATTATTTTGAGAAAATTTCGATTCAGTACAAGTGTTTCGATATTTTTTACTCTCGTTGCATTAAATTTTTCCAATTTATTATCATCGAGAAAAAGATGTGTTAATTTGAGGGGAAAATTTTCCATTTTTTCTATTAAATTATCACTGAGATAGAGATGTGTTAGATTTGGTAAATTTTCCCCAATTTCGTGTGTTACATTAAAAATTTTATTTTTTCTCAAATAAAGATGTTGTAATTTGGGAAATTTCGATTTTATCGTCAAAAACAAATTTTTCTTTCTATTCTCGTCGATAATTAGTGTTTTTAATTGAAAATGTGAATCGAAAGTGATTAAATTGGTCAAAGAATTTTCGGCTAAATTCAAAAAATAGAGATTTGGTAATAATTTGAAAGCACCTGGTGAAATTTCGGTCAATTCGTTTCCTTGAAGAGTGAGACAATTAATAAAGGGACTGTCCATAAAGCCATCGATTAGTATTTTTGATTCGTTGCTCGATAATTTTAGTGTCACATTTTTCTCCATTTGATTGCATTGTCCAGTTGGAAATTCGAGAGAATTTTTTCGCTGCTAAAAAGAGAGAAAAAAAATTAAAAATTAGTAATTTTGTGTTGCGCGCGCAGCTTGGGGAAAAGTGGGGGAAAGTTGCGCGCGCAGGAGACGAAGAGTGGGGAGAGTGATGCGCGCGCATCACTCTTCTTACTCTTCGCCTCCTGCGCGCGCAACTACCGAACAGTAGAAAAGGAAATTTATTTTTTCTTGCTTTTAATTTATTTATTTTTTTTGCTTTCAATTCTTTTGCAAAGGAAAAGAAGGAAAATTGTTTTTTTAGAAAGAAAAATTATTACCACATTTGCTATTAAATCGTTGCATTCAGAAAATGTGACGAGAAATAAACTCAGAGGCAGGAGTTTATTTAAAATACGAGACATCTTGAATATCTGGAAAATGATAAAGAGAATGTTGACATTTTTATCTCTCGAGTGAAAAAAAATTGATTTAGTAATGCAAAATTAATTGTCTATTAATTAAATATTGTACAAAAATAATTCCTAGGTAATTGAATGTTAAAAAAATTTTTTTATTATTAATTCATTAAATGCAAAGAAATTTATTTTTATTAACTAAATATTTATTGAATTAATTAACTAAAAATTGTTTTGTTAATTGAGTACAAAAATTCTTTTTATTAATTAACTAAAAATTGATTTTATAACTACAAAAATATTTTTTATTAATGAACTAAAAATTAATTTTCATAATTAACTAAAAACCATTTTTAATTGATTAAACAATAAAAAATTATTTTTTAATTAATATTTCAAAATAGACTCTGAGTTAAATTCAATATTAGGAAAAAATAATTTTAAATAAATTTTTTTTTATTTTAATATTTTGCTACTATTTTTTTTTTATTAACATTTGGTATAATAATTAAATACTGTTTTTTGAAAAAAGTAATTTTGTTTCGAAAAAAAGATAAGTTTTTGTTTTGGTAAAAATATAATAATTTTGGTACTCACATGCTTTTTACTGACGACAAGTTTGTTCAATTATCAATTAAAAAATTCTTTCTCAAGAAAAGATTGGAGTGTGACGAGAATTATTGGCGATAATTGAGAAAAAAAAATAGTAATCTCATTAGATAATTAGCATTTTAGTTAAAGCAAAAATACGTGATTCATGTTATTATACATAAAAAATATTATTTTTTTAAAACTAAAAGTGTGAAAATTTAATATTTGAAACAAAAAATTTAATTTTAGATTGAAAATATCAAAATTTATATTTTGGAAACTAATATTACAAAACTACACCTTTTATTTTCAAAATGAAGAAAATTATTTTATTTTTTAAATTAACAAAAGAATATTATTTTTAGAATAGAAAATTAAAAGAGAATTGAAAATTAAAAATTCAATTTTTTTGTTAAAATTGAAAATTCAATTTTTTTCTAACAAAAAAATTGAAAATAGAGATTCAATTTCTTTATTAAATTTGAAAATTCAATTTTTTTTCAATACATTTTTAAAATTGGAAAATTAATTTTTTTGTGAGAATTAAAAATTGAGTTTTTTTATAAAATTGAATAATTGATTTTATTCTGAAAATTTTATTCTTAAAATTGAAAATTCAATTTTGATCTTACAAAAAAAATTGAAAATAGAGATTCAATTCCTTTATTAAATTTGAAAATTCAATTTTTTTTTATTAAAATTTAAATAATTCAATATATTTTTAAAATTGAAAAATTAATTTTTTTCTGAAAATTAAAAATTGAATTTTTTTATAAAATTGAATAATTGATTTTATTCTGAAAATTTTAAATTCAAATTTTATTCTTAAAATTGAAAATTCAATTTTGTTCTTACAAAAAAATTGAAAATAGAGATTCAATTTCTTTATTGAATTTAAAAATTCAATTTTTTTTGTTAATATTAAAATAATTCAATATATTTTTAAAATTATTCTTAAAATTGAAAATTCATTTTGTGCTTATAATAAAAAAATTAATTTTAGTCATAAAATTAAAGATTCAAAGACAATTTATTTTTTTTTTAAATTAAAAACGTGTCAAATTTATGATTTTTGCCATTTTTGTCAGATTGCAAATCCAAAAAACTTCACGAAGACCACGCTAAATAAAAAAATTCATTTTATTCATAAAATTAAAAATACAAAGCGAATTTTATTTTTTAAATTAAATTCGTTTTCTAATTTTACAAATTTTTTTTCTATATTTATATTTTTTTAATTTTACTATTTGTTACATTGAATCGTATAATCATTAGTATATCGATAGTGATAATTCGTACTTCTTTCTAAAGTTTCATTTACATTCACGTGCAGAATTAAATTTTTCCTCACTTTTCCAAAAGTGATTCTCACCAAATTTTGACTGCCAAGAAAAACATTTTTTACCGTTGAATTTTCAAAATTAAAACTATCCGTAAATAAAATATCATTAGAAATTAAATTCAATGTTTGTAAATTTTTCAACTGCATCCCCCAATTGGGATAAAATTTCGAAATTTCATTTTCCCGTAAATTCAAGTCAGTTAATTTTACTAAATTTGCAAAAGCATTTTCTTCAATTGTCTTTATATCATTTCCCTTGAGTGACAATTTTTCCAAATTCACAGCATCGCTGAGGGCATTTTTTTCGATTTTTCTAATAGAATTGAAATTCAAGTAAAGTTCCTTTAAAGTTGGGAGGGAAAGTTCCTTTGGTATATCATAGAATCGATTGTAATTCAAGGAAACAACTTTTAAATTTTTCATTTTTTTCAAAGTACCCTCGAAAATTTTATCAATTAAATTTACGGAAAGATTTAATTTTTCTAAATTTTGCGTTCCATCGAAGGCATTGTTATTGATTGTTCGAATTTTACAACGTGACGATGACAATTCTTTCAAATTTGGCATATTTTCCACTTTCAAAAATGCTGTACCGGAAGTGCCCAATATTGAAAATTGATTCCCTCCGATGTGCAGAGATGTTAAATTTTTGAAATTTGTTCCATTAAAGTGACACAGGGCATTGTCTTCAATTTCTAAGTGTAACAAATTTTTTGGTATATTTACCAAACTATTTTGTAGTGAACCAGTTTTTTCCGAATTTCCCGAAAGGTATAAATTTGTCAGTTTTGGAAAATTATGTTCACGAAATCCAGAATCGAAAGATTTGATTTTATTATTGCGAAGATAGAGTTTTTTTAAATTTTCAAAACGATAAATATTTGATAAACTTGATTGAAGGTGATATTCACTGTCTGCATTGTTGTCTAAAATTAATGTTTCTAATTTATTGTGTGGACCAATTGAAAATAAATTTTCAATTGAAATATAATTATAGGCAAGATTTAGAAATGTGAGATTTGGAAAATTTGGGAAAAATGATAGTGAAATGTAACGAAGTTGATTTCCTTGGAGATTTATACAATTTATTGGTAGTCGATCAATGAAATTGTCGGGAAGATTTCCAAGTCCGGTGTAATTGAGATTTAGTGATTTTGTTGAATTTGAAATTTTGCAGAGAAATTCAGTTGATTCGAGAAATTCGAGATTATTTTCATCGTCTCTTGGATGAATATTTTCGAATAATATTGTTTGGCTGAGGCAAAGAACAGGAATTAGCCCAATGATGAGTAGATTTATTATTTTCGGATTCATCTGAAAAAAAATTATTAATATTTAATTGAAACAAATTTTAATTTACAAATAGTGAAAATTTTAAGAAATATTTAATGGTTTTCCTACATTTTTTCGACAACAATACAATTATTATCAATTTGTTATTAACAATTATTAATTAACAATCAATTGTTAAAAACAAATTGTTTAATTTTAATTTGTTATATAACAAGATTTTTTAATTCCAATTTGTATAATTGTAATTTGTTTAAATACAATTTGTTATTAAATTTCAATTTGTTTAACTCCAAATTGTTTATATCAATTTGTTTATTTCCAATTTGTTCAATTCTAATTAGTTTAAAATTAATTTGTTTAATTCATATTTTTGTAATTTACTAATTTGTTTATATCAATTTGTTTATTTCCAATTTATTTAATTTTAATTTGTTTAACTAAAATTCGTTTAATTCCAATTGTTTAAACATTAATTTATTAAAATCAAATTTGTTTAATTCTATTTGTATAACTTTAATTTGTTTATAAATAATTTATTTATTTCCAATTTGTTTAATTTAATTTGTTTAACTAAAATTTGTTTAATTCCAATTATTCTAACATTAATTTGTTAAAATATAATTTGTTTATTTCTATTTGTTTAACTATACATGGATTATAACTAATTTTTTCATATCAATTTGTTTATTTCCAATTATTTATTTAATTTTAATTTGTTTAACTAAAATTTGTTTAATTTCAATTGTTTCAACATTAATTTGTTAAAATCTAATTTGTTTATTTCTATTTGTTTAACTTTAATTTGTTTATAAATAATTTATTTATTTCCAATTTGTTTAACTAAAATTTGTTTAATTTCAATTGTTTTAACATTAATTTGTTTATATCAATTTGTTTATTTCCAATTTGTTTAATTTTAATTTGTTTAGCTAAATTTGTTTAATTCCAATTGTTCTAGCATTAATTTGTTAAAATTTAATTTGTTTATTTCTATTTTGTAACTTTAATTTGATTACAGCTACTTTGTTTATTTCAATTTGTTTGATTCTAATTTGTTTAATTCCTATTTAATTATTTAAATTTTCCCATTTTTTATTTGTTTTATTCCAATTTGCCTATTTTTAATTTTGCTTAATTCCAATTATTTAATTTTAATATTTGTTTACTTCCAATTGGTTTAAATATATTTTTTTTATTCCAATTTTTTTTCATTTTAATTTTTTTTAACATTATTTTTTCTAATTTTAATTTCTTTAATTTCAATTTGATTAATTTCAATTTGTCTGATTACAATTTATTTTTAATTAATTTTAATTAATTAATTTCTTAATTATTAATTTGTCAATTATTATTTATTTTTGTCCTTAAAGCAACAATAAACATTAAAAATTATATACGTAATGTGAACGATAGTTAAATTATTTAATTTCAACAAATAATACTTACTATTAAATAATAATCGAAGCTTATCAAGAGAGTCTTGATTAATTACTGATGTAGACAAATCGCATATAGAATTCCAATCGGATGAACTTCTTTGTCATTAATTTTATTATTAAAATAAATTATGCGCCAAGATTGATAACAAAATCGTAATATCACTTTGTCGACACTATTTAAAAGTAGAAATTTTTTAATGTCAAAAGTCGAGTAAAATGAAAATTTTTTGTTTATTTTTTTTCTATAATAATTTTTCAGAGAATAAAAACCTTGGAACTTTTTCAACTTTTCTACTAAGGAAGGAATTTTTTTCAGAAAAAAGAATTTTTAATTTAAAAAAAGAAACAAGAAGTTAAAAAAGAAAGGAGACTAAAAATCGAGGGTAAAAAAGAAAATACAATTTTTTTTTTCAATATACTGTTTATTTAAAGAGGCATTTTAAATTTGATGTTTAAATGTTTTGTTGTTGTTTGTTAACAAAAAAAAATTGTTAAGTACCAACGTTTGGAATGGAAATCTTTCGAATTCTTAGAAGTCTGGTGCCTTGGAGTGGGGATAGCGTCTCGACCTTGAAAGTTGCGCGCGCCACCCTTGCGGAGTGGGGCGCCAATCACGAACCGCTCCTTCTAATAATTATTTTACTGCCATTTAAAGAAAATCATCAAAGAAACCAAAATCAAGTCAAAGTTTTCAATTCTTTTCCACTTTCATCATTTTCTTATTCCGCTTATCAAAAATTCTCGGAATTAATTCCGTCGCCCTCATCGGTCCAATGTAAACCGTCAAATTCTCCGGTAAATTAATCAACGAATTGGCACTAATTCGCGTCACTGGATTCCCCTTTAAATACAAATGCTCCAATGAAAAATCATCGCGTAAATATAATTCATCAACATTTCCAATTCGATTGAAATTAAGATTGAAAAATTTCAATTTCGCCAAATTCGCCAAAGCACTCGGGACAAAATGTTGAATATTATTCTCAGCCAAATCTAATTCACGTAAATTTGTCAAATTTGCAAAAACACATTCGCCCAAAAATGTGATATTATTACCCCGCAATGACAAACTCTCTAAACCGGTTAAATTACCCAAACCACTCGTTGATTCGATTCGATTGTAACTGAGGTACAATTTTTTCAAACACGAGAGGGAAATTCCCTTTGGGATTTTTCTCAAAAAATTCGAACTCAGTGAGAGATTTTTTAAATTCGAAACACCGTTGAATAGACCGTCGGGAATGTCGTCAATGTAATTGTTGGATAAATCGAGAGTGGTGAGATTGTAAGAGCCGTAGAATGTGGTCGCGCCGATTTTACCGATTTTACACGATTTTGCCGAGAGATGCTGAAGAGTTGGCGTCATACTTGGATCGAGTGTCATGTCAAATGATCTGTCGAGAATTTTAAAATCATTTCCATCTAAAATCAATTCGGTGATATTGCCAAAAACTGAACTTCGAAACACGCCGATTCCATTTTGTTCCAAATAGAGATGTGTCACTGACGCTGGAACGGTACTCACGAAATTATACAAATTCGTCACATTCACGATATTGTCCGAGAGGTAAAAATGCGTTAAACTTGGAAAATGAGAACCAAAATCGTTGGGTAGGAATTCAATTAAATTTCGCCTCAAAGAAAGTTGTTGTAATTGGGGAAATTGTCCGTGAATTTCCAGAGTGTGAGAATAGGAGGGAATGTTACCGTCCAAAATAAGTGTTTCTAAATTTTCATGACCACCGAATGTTAGAAGATCATGATCGGGAATATGATTGTTGGCTAAATTTAGGTACAGGAGATTTGGCATTTCGAGAAAAATCCCATAAGGTAGGGAGACAATTTCATTGTCCTCGAGATTGAGACAAGTGAATAGTGGACTGTCGAGGAGATTTTCGGTGATATTGTTGATGCCCATTTTTGAAAGATTCAATTTTATGGATCCCTCTGACTTCTGACAGTCTGGCAGTTGATTCTCAAGGGATGGCGACTTCTCCAAAAGAATATCCTCTTCGGTCATATCAAATGACACTGCTTGCTTGTCACAACCAACGGTCACGCCAGAGACAAGAAAAATCGCAAAAATCGTCACAAACATGTTGATTCTGAAAAAAGTATCATTTTTATTAACTGTAACTAATTAAAAGTAAAAATAAATTATTTTATACATTCAAGTGGGGTTTAACAACATCATAAAAACTACTTAGGTAGATAACAACCCATACAAATAATTAGAATTTTAAAAAAATAATTTCTACATCCTCTGTCCCAACTTCTGATTGTCTGATAGCATACGGGTGGAACTGCATTTACTTAAAAGTTGCAATAAAAATCTCTATTCTTCAGGATGTTGCTCAGCAACTTCCTACCTACATCATAGATAATTTCCGACTCACAGAAAAATTTTATTGTGACAGAAATTAAATTTTAGCGTCATTTTTCACTATTTTCAATTGTCTGATAGCGTACGGGTGGAGGTGCTACTACTTAAAAGTGCCGATAAAAATCTCTATTCTTCAGGATGTTGCTCAGCAACTTCCTACCTACATCTCAGATAATTTCCGACTCACAGAAAAATTTTATTGTGACAGAAAATAAATTTTAGCGTCATTTTTCACTATTTTCAATTGTCTGATAGCGTTCGGGTGGAGGTGCTACTACTTAAAAGTTCCGATAAAAATCTATATTTTTCAGGATGTTGCTCAGCAACTTGGTACCTACATCTCAGATAATTTCCGACTCACAGAAAAATTTTATTGTGACAGAAAATAATTTTTGCGTCATTTTTCAATATTTTCAATTGTCTAATAGCGTTCGGGTGGAGGTGCTACTACTTAAAAGTTCCGATAAAAATCTCTATTCTTCAGGATGTTGCTCAGCAACTTCCTGCTTACATCTCAGATAATTTCCGACTCACAGAAAAATATTAGAGTGACAGAAATTAAATTTTAGCGTCATTTTTCACTATTTTTAATTGTCTGATAGCGTTCGGGTGGAAGTGCTACTACTTAAAAGTTCAGTTAAAAATCTCTATTCTTCAGGATATTGCTGAGCAACTTCCTGCTTACATCTCAGATAATTTCCGACTCACAGAAAAATATTAGAGTGACAGAAAATAAATTTTAGCGTCATTTTTCACTATTTTCAATTGTCTGATAGCGTTCGGGTGGAGGTGCTACTACTTAAAAGTTCCGATAAAAATCTCTATTTTTTAGGATGTTGCTCAGCAACTTCCTACCAACATCTCAGATAATTTCCGACTCACAGAAAAATATTAGAGTGACAGAAATTAAATTTTAGCGTCATTTTTCACTATTTTCAATTGTCTGATAGCGTTCGGGTGGAGGTGCTACTACTTAAAAGTTCAGTAAAAACTCTATATTCTGTAGTATGTTGCTCAGCAACTTCCTACCTACATCTCAGATAATTTCCGACTCACAGAAAAATATTAGAGTGACAGAAATTAAATTTTAGCGTCATTTTTCACTATTTTCAATTGTCTGATAGCGTTCGGGTGGAGGTGCTACTACTTAAAAGTTCAGTAAAAACTCTATATTCTTTAGGATGTTGCTCAGCAACTTCCTACCTACATCTCAGATAATTTCCGACTCACAGAAAAATATTAGAGTGACAGAAATTAAATTTTAGCGTCATTTTTCACTATTTTCAATTGTCTGATAGCGTTCGGGTGGAGGTGCTACTACTTAAAAGTTCCGATAAAAATCTCTATTCCTCAGGATGTTGCTCAGCAACTTCCTACCAACATCAGAGATAATTTCCGACTCACAGAAAAATTTTATTGTGACAGAAAATAAATTTTAGCGTCATTTTTCACTATTTTCAATTGTATGATAGCGTTCGGGTGGAGGTGCTACTACTTAAAAGTTCCGATAAAAATCTCTATTTTTCAGGATGTTGCTCAGCAACTTCCTACCAACATCAGAGATAATTTCCGACTCACAGAAAAATTTTATTGTGACAGAAAATAAATTTTAGCGTCATTTTTCACTATTTTCAATTGTCTGATAGCGTTCGGGTGGAGGTGCTACTACTTAAAAGTTCCGATAAAAATCTCTATTCTTCAGGATATTGCTCAGCAACTTCCTGCCAACATATGAAATAATTTCCGACTCACAGAAAAATTTTATTGTGACAGAAAATAAATTTTAGCGTCATTTTTCACTATTTTCAATTGTCTGATAGCGTTCGGGTGGAGGTGCTACTACTTAAAAGTTCCGATAAAAATCTCTATTCCTCAGGATGTTGCTCAGCAACTTCCTACCAACATCAGAGATAATTTCCGACTCACAGAAAAATTTTATTGTGACAGAAAATAAATTTTATCGTCATTTTTCACTATTTTCAATTGTCTGACAGCGTTCGGGTGGAGGTGCTACTACTTAAAAGTTCCGATAAAAATCTCTATTCTTCAGGATATTGCTCAGCAACTTCCTGCCAACATTTAAAATAATTGCCGACTCACAGAAAATTTTTATTGTGACAGAAAATAAATTTTAGCGTCATTTTTCACTATTCTCAATTGTCTGATAGCGTTCGGGTGGAGGTGCTACTACTTAAAAGTTCCGATAAAAATCTTTATTCTTAAGGATGTTGCTCAGCAACTTCCTACCAACATCAGAGATAATTTCCGACTTACAGAAAAATTTTATTGTGACAAAAAATAAATTTTAGCGTCATTTTTCACTATTTTTAATTGTCTGATAGCGTTCGGGTGGAGGTGCTACTACTTAAAAGTTCCGATAAAAATCTCTATTCTTCAGGATATTGCTCAGCAACTTCCTGCCAACATATAAAATAATTTCCGACTCACAGAAAAATATTAGAGTGACAGAAAATAAATTTTAGCGTCATTTTTCACTATTTTCAATTGTCTGATAGCGTTCGGGTGGAGGTGCTACTACTTAAAAGTGCCTATAAAAATCTCTATTCTTCAGGATGTTGCTCAGCAACTTCCTACCTACATCTCAGATAATTTCCGACTCACAGAAAAATATTAGAGTGACAGAAATTAAATTTTAGCGTCATTTTTCACTATTTTCAATTGTCTGATAGCGTTCGGGTGGAGGTGCTACTACTTAATAGTTCCGATAAAAATCTCTATTCTTCAGGATGATGCTCAGCAACTTCCTGCCAACATCTGAAATAGTTTCCGACTCACAGAAAAATTTTATTGTGACAGAAAATAAATTTTAACGTCATTTTTAACTATTTTCAATTGTCTGATAGCGTTCGGGTGGAGGTGCTACTACTTAAAAGTTCCGATAAAAATATCTATTCCTCAGGATGTTGCTCAGCAACTTCCTACCAACATCAGAGATAATTTCCGACTCACAGAAAAATTTTATTGTGACAGAAAATAATTTCTGCGTCATTTTTCAATATTTTCAATTGTCTGATAGCGTTCGGGTGGAGGTTCTACTACTTAAAAGTTCCGATAAAAATCTCTATTTTTCAGGATGTTGCTCAGCAACTTCCTACCAACATCAGAGATAATTTCCGACTCACAGAAAAATGATAGAGTGACAGAAAATAATTTTTGCGTCATTTTTCAATATTTTCAATTGTCTGATAGCGTTCGGGTGGAGGTTCTACTACTTAAAAGTGCCTATAAAAATCTCTATTCTTCAGGATGTTGCTCAGCAACTTCCTACCTACATCTCAGATAATTTCCGACTCACAGAAAAATATTAGAGTGACAGAAATTAAATTTTAGCGTCATTTTTCACTATTTTCAATTGTCTGATAGCGTTCGGGTGGAGGTGCTACTACTTAAAAGTTTAGTTAAAAATCTCTATTCTTCAGGATGTTGCTCAGCAACTTCCTGCTTACATCTCAGATAATTTCCGACTCACAGAAAAATATTAGAGTGACAGAAATTAAATTTTAGCGTCATTTTTCACTATTTTCAATTGTCTGATAGCGTTCGGGTGGAGGTGCTACTACTTAAAAGTTTAGTTAAAAATCTCTATTCTTCAGGATGTTGCTCAGCAACTTCCTACCTACATCTCAGATAATTTCCGACTCACAGAAAAATGATAGAGTGACAGAAATTAAATTTTAGCGTCATTTTTCACTATTTTCAATTGTCTGATAGCGTTCGGGTGGAGGTGCTACTACTTAAAAGTTTAGTTAAAAATCTCTATTCTTCAGGATGTTGCTCAGCAACTTCCTACCTACATCTCAGATAATTTCCGACTCACAGAAAAATGATAGAGTGACAGAAATTAAATTTTAGCGTCATTTTTCACTATTTTCAATTGTCTGATAGCGTTCGGGTGGAGGTGCTACTACTTAAAAGTTCCGATAAAAATCTCTATTCCTCAGGATGTTGCTCAGCAACTTCCTACCAACATCAGAGATAATTTCCGACTCACAGAAAAATTTTATTGTGACAGAAAATAAATTTTAGCGTCATTTTTCACTATTTTCAATTGTCTGATAGCGTTCGGGTGGAGGTGCTACTACTTAAAAGTTCCGATAAAAATCTCTATTTTTCAGGATGTTGCTCAGCAACTTCCTACCAACATCAGAGATAATTTCCGACTCACAGAAAAATTTTATTGTGACAGAAAATAAATTTTAGCGTCATTTTTCACTATTTTCAATTGTCTGATAGCGTTCGGGTGGAGGTGCTACTACTTAAAAGTTCCGATAAAAATCTCTATTCTTCAGGATATTGCTCAGCAACTTCCTGCCAACATATGAAATAATTTCCGACTCACAGAAAAATTTTATTGTGACAGAAAATAAATTTTAGCGTCATTTTTCACTATTTTCAATTGTCTGATAGCGTTCGGGTGGAGGTGCTACTACTTAAAAGTTCCGATAAAAATCTCTATTCCTCAGGATGTTGCTCAGCAACTTCCTACCAACATCAGAGATAATTTCCGACTCACAGAAAAATTTTATTGTGACAGAAAATAAATTTTATCGTCATTTTTCACTATTTTCAATTGTCTGACAGCGTTCGGGTGGAGGTGCTACTACTTAAAAGTTCCGATAAAAATCTCTATTCTTCAGGATATTGCTCAGCAACTTCCTGCCAACATTTAAAATAATTGCCGACTCACAGAAAATTTTTAT